GGGGGGGGGGGGGGGGGGGGGGGGGGGGGGGGGGGGGGGGGGGGGGGGGGGGGGGTGGGGGGGGGGGGGGGGGGGGGGGGGGGGGGGGGGGGGGGGGGGGGGGGGGGGGGGGGGGGGGGGGGGGGGGTCAGGGGAGGCGTTAAGAGAGGCGTTAAGGAGGGTTAAGGAGGGTTAGGGAGGGTTAGGGAGGGTTAAGGGAGAGGGTGTGAGGCTAGGGCCGAGGGGTTAGGCAGGGCCAAAAAGACAGCGCGGGAGTGGTACCGCAGCGGACGGGCAGATCGTTAGCGAGCCCAGGTCACTCGCCAGAACGGCAATACGCAGGGCCGGCGGGCCAACCACGGGCGCTGACGACGAGCCGGCTTGGCTGACTCGGGCGAGAGCTGCGCTGCGGCAGCGCCGGCGAAGCGAGCGAGCCACCACGAACAAGATTGCACGGCCCTGCATCCCTGCCGCGCGCGGTGTTTCATTTAATAGTCATCGCTGCAGACTCTGCTCTTCTCTCGCTCTCTTTTTCTGTTTTCTTCTCTCCGCTGGTCTGGTCTCTTCTCCTCGCTGCTGGTCTCTTCTCTCCCCTTCCCTCCCGAGCAGGCTCGCCTCAGTCACTCTTTTCTGCTGCTCGTCACCATGTCTTCCGCCTCCGCCTCGTCGTCCGCCGCTTCCGCCGGCAAGGCCCGCCCGCTGGCCGACGCCGCCACCGCCGACGACCTCTTCGCCAGCGAGAAGCGCCCGCGCCGTCGCGATGACTGGATTGCCATCGCCAACTTCCACCCGGGGTATCTCTCTCTCTCTCTCTCTCTGTCTTTCTCCTCGCATCATACTGACTCGCCAGATGGTTCGCCGCCACCATGGGCACCGGCATCACCGCCATCCTGCTCGACCGCCTGCCCTACCAGTTCCCCGGCCTGCGCTACATCGCCCTGGCCATCTTCGTGCTCAACGTCGCCCTCTTCACGCTCTTCCTCGTCATCTCCGTGCTGCGCTACGCCATCTGGCCCGACAAGTTCAAGGCCATGCTGCGCCACCCCGCCCACTCCATGCTGCTCGGCACCTTTCCCATGGGCTTCGCCACCATCATCAACTGCACCATCTTCATGCTGCTGCCGCGCTGGGGGCCGTGGGTCGCCACCGTCGCCTGGGTGCTGTGGTGGATTGACGCCGCCGTCTCCGTCTTCACCTGCTACTACGTGCCTTTCGTCTTGTAGGTCGTCCGCGTCGCGCCCGCAGAGCCATCATCACTGAATCCATCCATGTAGAACCACCGTCCACCCCGCCAAGCTCGAGACCATGACCGCCGCCTGGCTGCTGCCCATCGTCGCGCCCGTCGTCGCGGCCGCGTCCGGCGGCGTCGTCGCCAACGCCCTGACCAACGACCAGCACGCCCTCATCACCGTCGTCGTCTGCTATATCATGTGGGGCTCGGCCGTGCCCTTCGCCATGGTCATCATCGTCATCTACTTCCAGCGCCTCGCCCTGCACAAGATCGTGCCGTCCGCCGTCATCGTCAGCACGCTGCTGCCCGTCGGCCCGCTCGGCCAGGGTGGTTTCGGGTACGTGTGCTCCCCGTCGACGTCGACGTCGTGTCAAGCCTCGTCAAGCGTGCGATCGCCGAACTAACGTCGTTTCGCAGGATCATGCAGCTAGGCATCGTCGCTCGCCGGGTGTTCCCTGCTGTGAGTGCTGCCCGACTCATCTGTCATCATCTAATGCGTCCCTGCTGACTCGCTTGACTCCTTTTTGTAGACCGGCGTCCTGTCGCAGCTGTCGGGCGAGATCTTCTACTCGGTCGGCGTGTTTGTGGCCCTGATCATGTGGGGATTCGGGCTCGTCTGGCTGTGGTTTGCGGCGGCATCCTTCGCGCGCGGGCCGTTCCCGTTCAACCTGGGCTGGTGGGCGTTTACTTTCCCGATCGGTAGGATTGGATCCCTTTTATCTTTTCTTTCTTGGGGCCGCACTGACGCAGATGATCGGCAGGCGTGTTCACGACGGCGTGTCTGCTGTTCGGGCAGGAGTTCGACTCGGTGGTGTTCAAGATCATCGGCACGGTAAGCCACGTTCCGCTCCGCTCCCCTGACCCCTCGCGTTCATGCTGTGCGACGTGTGCAGCTGCTGACTGGCGGGCGGTAGATCCTGTCGGTCTGTGTGACGCTGCTGTGGCTGATGGTGTTCTGTTTCACCATCTGGAAGTCCATCACCAAGGAGCTATTCAAGCTATAGTTCATTCTTCGTTCCATCACCACCACCACCATCCTAATGATCGTCGTTCCAGCTCCGGCATTTCCTTGCATCTTGCATCTTTCTTTACTCTTTTCTTGCCTGCCATCTCCTCTCGGACCAAAATCTCTTGTGTCATTTTGCGTGCGGCAGCATATAAATATATATATGTATACACATTTTCCTAGCGTTTTTTGATTGTTTTGTTCTTCAACAGCCCCGCGGGAGCAGTGCTCGCCCGTGTTTTGCCTAGTCATTAGCCATGGATAGATCTTTTAGTCTGTAGCAGCGAACATAAAAAGTGATTAATGGTAATCAATGTCAAGTAGAAGAGTGAAGAAACGAGCAGACGGGGGGCAGGCGGGGGGTTTTGAGGGCGGCGGGTGTTGGGCGATTGCGTGATTGCTCCACCGAACCACTAGCTAGTTGTTTAACTAGATACCTACTAACGACGGAGTAGCTCGTAACCCTACATACTACTCCGTCTGAGTGCGAGACTGCCTACTTATGACCGCCCGCGACGGCCGCCGTTCCAGCAGGCGGTGAGGTCGCGCCGGGGCGGCATCCCTGGCGACGGGCCGTGAGGGCGGCGTGATTGGCCGCGCGCCGGGCAGATCTCGCTTGGGAGACGCGGCGAGCTTGCCAGAGCAGCAGTGGCGGTGACGGCTGCATGCACGTTGATTTGAGGAGATGGGGAACTATGGTGTATTTTAGGTCTTCATGAATCGTGATAGAGCCAAGTAATTAACAGTAGTTAACTATCCTCCCGTCCGGCGACGCAGCACCCACCCACACCGACTCCTCGCGGCCGCACAGCCTCGCCGCCCTCGCTGTGTCTCTGTCTCTGTCTCTGTCTCCGTCGCGTTTCACCCGGTCGTGTCGTCAGCCCGCCGCACGCAGGGCCTAGCCGTCTTTTTTGAAGATCACGGAGCCGTTGACCTGGGGGGTTCGTTAGTAGGAAGTAGGAGACGAGGAGACGAGGAGAAGAGGAGAAGAGGAGAAGAGAAGAAGAGAAGAAGAAGAAGAGAAGAAGAAGAAGAGAAGAAGAGAAGGACACTCACGCCCTCGCCGCACTCGCCGCTGGGGGGCGCGAACGGGCCAATGCACTTGCGGCGCGGGCCCGTGTAGATCATGGGGTCGTCGGGGAACTGTCGAAGCCAGTCAGTCAGTCAGTCAGTGACGAGGTATTGAGCGACAGAGCAGTGTTGACGCACGCGCGGGAAGTTCTCGGTCGAGCCGACGACTTTGGCGGTGGCTGTGGCGGCCAGCGTGGCCAGCAGGAGAGCGAGCGAGAGCTTCATCGTGGAGTACTGAGTAGTGTAGTATGTAGTGGTAGATAAGCAATGGTAGTCAGTCTGATGATGAGCCTGTGTCTCCGGGCAGACAGCCGCTATTTATCATGTCTCCGTCTCTCCATCTCGCTCTCTGTCTCTTTATCTTTCTTTCTTTCTTTCTTTCTTTCTTTCTCCTCTTCTCTCCGCGTTTCCCCACGGGGAATGGAATAATCGCGCAGGCACGCGAGCGAGTGCGGCATTAACTTGGGTAGTTAACTCACGGGCTGATGGCGGGGAGGCGGGGAGCCAACAGACAAAAGCATCACCAGTAAGTAAGTAAGTAACGAACCAACTGATACCTACTCCCACCAACAACAACTACATCACTGCTATACTACTCCTCTCGATGACTCCCCTCCGCCTGCATCTCCCCGCCGAGCACATCACGCTCGAGCTGACGCCGCAGCCGCTGCAGCCCGCCGCCCAGCTGGCCCACACTCGCTCGCCCGCCGCCGGAGCCAACGTCCTGTTCGCCGGCACCACGCGCGACTCCTGCGACGGCCGCCCCGTCGCGCGTCTGGCCTACGAGAGCTACGGCCCGCTGGCCCTGCGCACGCTGGCTGCCCTCGCGCGCGCCGCCGTCGACAAGCACGGCCTCTGCGCCGTCAGCATCGCCCACCGCCTGGGCCCCGTGCCCGTCGGCGAGGAGTCCATCGTCATCGCCCTCAGCGCCCCGCACCGCGGCCCCGCCTGGCGTGCCGGCCAGGAGCTGCTCGACGACTGCAAGCGCCGCCTCGAGGTGTGGAAGCGCGAGGAGTTTGTCGGCGATCCGCCCGGGGAGGGTGAGTGGCGGGCAAATAGGGATACCGACGCGGATGGCAACCCGTCTGCCGACAGTGCCCACTGAGGGAATTAACCAGGATACATACGACCGAGATGAGCGTGATTCTATCTGTTGTTATTATTTATTGTACACATCGCACCCACCAACGCCCAACGCCGTCCCATACAAAGAACCCGTTGGAGCGGAGAACAAAAAACACCTCTGCCCACACTCCCCCCCCGCCTCAGCGCGTGTCCAGCGCCTTGCCCTGCCGCTGCCAGTCCTTGATGTGCTCGCGGATCACGCTGGCCGCCCGCGCCGCCGAGTCCTGCCGCCCGATGCACTCCACGAAGTCGCCCTCGGGGTCTGCCGGTGGTCACGTTAGCTAGTCCTTCCAACAAAAGCGTCTTTTTCTCTTCTCTCTTTCTTTCACTCACCCATCAGGTAGAAGTAGATGCTATGGTCCACCAGGTAGTCCTCGCCCGGCGTGATGTTCTCCGGCGTGCTGAAGTACACGCGGTACTGCTTGCACATGTGCTTCACCTGCGCGTACGTGCCCGTCAGTCCCAGAATCCCCGCGTGGAACTCGCGCAGGTACGCCCGCAGCACCTCCGGCGTGTCGCGCGCCGGGTCGCACGTCACGAAGATCGGCCGCAGCACCGTCCCGCCCGCCCCGTTGACCAGCTCGATGATCTCCGCCATCTTGTCCAGCTCGTCCGGGCAGATGTCCGGGCAGTGCGTGAACCCGAAGTACACCTATCCCCCCAAATCAGCCCATATCATGTCATATCACCCTTCCCAGAATACCCACAAAATTGTATTTCCCCCGCAGCTGCGCCTCCGTGAACTCGCGCCCGTCCAGGTCCGTCAGCACAAACGGCCCGCCCACCTTGGGCTTGCCCACGCCCTTGCTCATCGCCACCACGCGCTCGCGCTCCAGCCGCGCCTTCTCGTACGTGAAGTACACGATCATCCCGCCGCCCGTCACCACGAACAGCCCCGCCGCCTTCCACGAGAACGGGCCCGTCGACGACCGCGCCTTCAGCTGCTCGATCGTCTTCGCCCGCGCCGCCCCGCTGCTCGCAAACCCCCGCCCGCCTCCCGTGACCTGCTGCCGTGATGTGAGCGAGCTGCGGACCGCCGTCCGCCCAACCAGGGACATTGCCGCCGAGGGCGTTCGCGACAGCCGGAAGGCCTGCCGTAGGGACTGCGAGATTGCTGCCGGCACCGAGGACGCCATGGCAATGCACTCTGAGCGCGATTGTTCTGTTTTGCTGGTGGTCTGCCTTTTCTTGACCTCTTCTCTTCGCAAGATGTTTTCTTGGAGTTCAGCCAATCAAACCTTGCAAGTTTAGTTGGTAAGGCCATTACTAAGCACTGATATGCTTAGTCAGTTTTGTATTATGTAACGCTCTGTTTGCAGCATTTGTACTCCGTACTTCATCTTTTCGTATTCATTCTACCAACTACCAACCATTACACGAAAAACCAAGAATCAAAAAAACAAAGGGTACATCCGCTATGCCACCAAAAGAGTAAAAGGGCTAGCCAGAAACCAACGCACCAAGAAGTGAAGACACCAAACTTTTCATCAAGACCCAGACCACCGCTCACGCGAGTCGTCTGACCAAGATACTCACCCGTAGAAAGTCAAAAGAAAAAAAAAAGCAAATAAAACATGAGAGTCCATCGAAGAAGAGGGTCGGAGGAGGGAGGTTAGGAGTCTGCTCGAATTTACTATCAAAGGGAGAAATAAAACAAAGATCCAGGGTAAACAACGCAGAAGAAGACAATTATAAAAAACAGAAAACAAGCACTACCGAGGCGAAATCTAACAGAATAGGAAAGAAATGTAGAATCGCAGCTCTATTAAACAAATTAGGATCAGTATCGTTCAGCAGATAGAGGCCGTTGGCTCAACATCAGAGATTTAAAGGTATCAACTAAACAGCATCACCGCTCTAGACTCTTTTCTATGCAACATCCGCGCGTCGAAAAACAGCCCAATCGTGTCTTGGGCAGATGGCCGCGTCTAAGTTCTATTCATGGCATCCCACGACTCGCCTGGCTCGCTCGGCTGGGGCTGGTTCGACTGCGCTCGTCTTCCTCGATGACGTCGCTCAGTCGCGTGGGATGGCGGTGTCGTGGCGCCATCGACTCCCACGTTGGTCCCCAGCCGGACCCGCTGTAATCTACCGGCCCCGGTCTATATCCGTCGTGGCCTTCCTCCGCGGAGGAGCCGGGCGGGTACCGCTGGTCATACTGCTGCGCTTCGGCGTCATCTTGCTCTATTTCTTGGTTCTCGTAGTCATCGCTGTCGTCTGAGACTGTGCGGGGGTAGGACAGCTGGCGGCCAGGGAAGTCCGGGTGGTTCATTCGGGGCTCATATTCTTCCGAGGCTTCGCTGGCGCCGGCTTCACTGGTTGGGACATGGGAGCCTTCGGGACCAGAGGTGCCGGAGGTCGGGAGCTTGTGCAATGCGGCACTATCATGCTGGTAGAATCCACTGGCGGCGCCTTGGGCCGCGGGTGCCTTGGAGCTCAACACCAGAGCATTGGTCGTGGCAGGGGCAGAAGATGGGGGGGCTTCCAGGAGAGGAACCATCGGGTTCGCAGCGCGAGTTCGAGACTGGTCTCGGCTTGTTGATTCAGAGAACTGGTCGCCGGCTCTAGGAGTGGAGACTTGACTATCGTACGAATATTGGTCGCTCTGCTCATCACGACGAGAATAGCCGCCCATAAAAGTCGCGCCAGGGCCCCCGGGGTACGGTCCTTCTCGGGTCTGAGGTCGATTGGAGCTGGTGTGCCGGCCCGGGTACGCTTGGACCATGGGCACGACCTGCACTCCGCCGACCACGGTGGGCTCTCCGTTTCGGAGCGACATGGTGCGCTCGCGCTCTTCATGTTCTCGGCGGCCCAGCTCTTCCCATGCACGCCGAGCTTCGTCGCGAGAGATCTGCAGCTCTCGGCGCATTTCCCGGACCAGCTCCTCAGCTTTAGCTTTATCGACCTCGGCTTGTTTCGCCGTTGAAATTGCCTCGTCGCGGCCCAGGCGTTCGGTTTCTAGCTGCCTGTGCAGCTCTGCTTGGAGCTCGCGAAACCGTTCTTGCTCGGCGCGCGTGTCGAAAAACCACCGTTGGAATTTCCGCTCCGACGACGCCCGTAAGCGCTGCAGTTCCACCACGGCATGAAAGAGATTGGCGCCCGCCGCAGAGAGATCGGTAATCTGGCGCGACATCTGCTGGCTGAGGGGGTCCTTGCTCAGGTCCTCATTGTTCTGCTCTAGGCGGCGGATCCAGTAGCTCGTCAGTCCTTCCCAGTGTGACGAAAGCATCTCCCACCTCTCGAATGCGTGTGGAAATGATCTCCGTGACTGGCCTTGGGCTTGCGAACCACTGCCACCAGCAGCTTGGCCGGACTGAGTTTTCGGTGCCTGCGCAGTGGGCGGGTTTTGGGCAGGATTATCGGGTCCCCTAGCTTGCGAAGGTCGGGGCTGATGAGACGAGGCTCCGGGAGCACGTTGCCTGGCTGGCTGCTCGGGCACAGGGCCATCGCCCGCCCGTCGTGACGAATGGGCTTCTGGGGGAGGGCGGGCCGCCGGGGGGTGGTCTGCAGCGCTAGGGTTCTGTGGCAGTGGCACATCTGGCGGGCGAGACGCGGATGCGGCGCCTGGTCGTCTTGTCGGGGGGATCTGAGGGTCGGCGGCGACTGGCTTTCGACGCTCCTCTTGGGCCAGGCGGTCAGCTTTCCGCTGTTCCTGGTCCTGTTGTTTCTTGATGCGGTCCATCTCCTGCTGCTCGCGCTCCCGCGCCTCTTGTTCGGCCCTTTTCCTCGCTTCGCGGTCCCGTCGCTGCCTCATGATGTCGGTTGGGGTTCGCACGCCGCTCTGGGCCGGGTTGGGAGGTGCGGGCGGCTGCGAGGGCCGGTGAGTTCCGCCATTGTGTTGTTGTTGTTGTTGTTGCTGCTGCTGTTGTCGACTGTGGCTCGCCGAGGGCAGGCCCTCCGCGGTGAGCTCGGACATGGACGCGTTGATCTCGCTGCGCACGGGCGAGAAGGGGTAGGGCTTGCGAATGGCTTCTTCCAGGACCCAGAGAATGGCGGAGGCGGTGCGAGGCGACACGTAGGTGCGGCGGGTCGGCCAGGCCGAGTCGGCTGGGGGCGGATTGGAGGCGGAGGTCGCGGAGGAGTCGGGCTCGGTGCGGGGAGGCTGGGCGGGATTGGGCGCACGACGCGGGGATCGCGGAGGGTCGTCGAATCGCACGGCCGCGGCAGCAGCCGGAATGTCGTCTGGCAGCGATGGGGTGTCGAGCGAGCGCGACACCGACTGCACGCGTCGTCTCAGGTGTCTTGGAGGGCGGGCGATGCGCGACGGGGCATGCGAGGAGGAGGCCGGGGACTGGGGCGGCGGCGGAGGAGGAGGAGGAGAAAAAAGAGTGGGAGCAGCAGAAGACAGAGAAGCAGCAGGCAGTGAGCAGTGGCGGCGGTGCGGGTGCTGGGACGGCGTGTTGGGCGTAATCGTCGCTGGGTCGTCAGGGTCGTGGGGCTCGTCAGGGCGCTGCCGGGCGGGTGGGCGGGACACGGTGGATGGGCAGCGCGTAGCGGGAGGGAGGAGGGGATGGGTAGGAGATTAGGAGAGGAGATTAGGAGAGGAGGAGAGGAGAGGAGGAGAGGAGGAGAGGAGAGGTACGGAGTAGAAAGGAGAGGAAGAGAGGAGGAGAGGATAGAGGAGAGGTCACAGAGCAGGCGAGTCACAGAGCGGAGGGAGCTGGCAATTGAGGGAGAGAGAGAGAGAAGACTAAGAGAGTGAAAGAGACAGAGAAGAGATACAGAAAGACAAGAGATACAGAAAGACAAGACAAGACACAGAGAAGAGATACAGAGTAAAGACAAAGACAAGAGCCAGCGCATCCCTCAGCGACGGTTGGCGCAACGGCGGTGGCTGGTCGAATCGCCGGTGGTTGGGCGGGCTGGGGGCGAGGTACGCCGCGCCGGGGGAAGCAAACTCCACCGCCGCTAACCCAGCCTCGCCTGCGCGGCTGCAACTTATTTAGCGGGCGGCGTGCTAACGGGCTGGTCGCTAGGCCGCTGCTTGGCCGGCGCCAACTGAGTTTCCTGGGATATTATTCTAACTACTCCGTATGTATGGATGGATGAGGACTCCAGAAGCCGTCGCAGTCCGTCATCGCTCGTCTACGTTGGCCTGCCTACCGACATGCAGCTTGACTATGTTCTGGGATGCCGTCCCCCGCCACCGTAGGCTGCCGCCCGCGTGGCTATAAAGCACTTCTCTTCCCCCCAGCCCACCTCGTTCATTTACCTAGTTAGCTACCTTCTCACCATGAGCCGCCACTACATCCCCCCGCCCGTGTCCCAGATCGAGCCCAACCTGTTCATCGCCGATGTCCTCGACACCTACAAAGAACACAACCTGAGCGACAACCGCATCAGCGTCGTCGTCTCGCTCTCCGACGGCCGCCTCGCGCTCTGGAGAAGTAACTCCTGAGGCACGTCACTCCCGAGCGCCATATGTACATCGAGTGTCTCGACAGCTCCACCCAAGACTTGATCAAGTTCGCCGATGACTTCTGCAACTTCCTGGACAAGTTCCTGTCTCCTTCGTCCAGCCCGACCCACGAAGGCAGTACCGAGACATCTCCCACCCAACACATCGCTCTCGTCCACTGCCAGAGAGGCCGTTCTCGCGCCCCGACCCTCGTGACCGCCTACCTCATGCGCAAGTACCAGAGGACCCACCAGGACATCCTCGCCGACCTGAAGCTGAAGCGCAAGATCGTCAAGCCGAATCCGAACTTCATCGAGCAGCTGGAGGTCTGGCACCAGGTCCAATACAACCTCTGGGAGGACGACGACAAGACTATCCCGAAAGAATCATACCGTGCCTATCTGGAACGACGCGCAGAACGTCTAAAGGCGAAGGGCTTGACCGGAGATGAACCTATAGTTCCAGCAACCTTGGATGAGCCCTTCATACGCCCCTGAGTTTCAAGTTCTATTTATAAGTCTAACGCACCCGTTCTTATGTATTTAACCTGGATGTGGCCTGGCACCTCCAGTTTCCTTAGACCTCATCAAGTTTCGCAGTATACTCTCCTGGATATGGGTAAAATGTTGATATTCATGAATTCAATTCCATAGACCGTAACTCCCGAGCTGGAAAATGCTACTTTTCTTTTCCTTTTGTTAGCCTTGCCGGACTCCATTAACAGTCCGCAGTCTTCGAAATAACTAGAAAATTGGGATTTTTAAAAAGAATCAACGTGTTTCTTAATTGTTGTATGACCCCTCGCTGCCAACAGATTAAACATACAAACAGGAATTAGCTTCTACAGTTTGATGCAAATAATATTCTGCATGGAAAAATGTTACCACTTACAGTAGTGGCCATGTGTGGACATTCATTAGTGATCGCAAACAGCACTCCTTGGACATCGGATCAATGGTTGATTGCGAAGAATGACACAAGCCGTGGTAGGGCAGGACCTAAGGGAAGCTTTTCAGACAACACCCGTCACTGCCGGAGGGTTTGAACTGGAGACTGCCCACAGTCAAAGGTTGTGTGCGAATGGAGGAGCTATTTGTAGGCCCCTTAAGTCGAGCTTTCTGATCAGCTGGCTCTTTCGACAAGTCCCAGAATCACACCCTCCCACTTCGAGACCACCGCTTCACCTGCCTTCTCAACCGCCGTATGGGGCTCCTCTCCCTGCTTCCCCACATCCGCCTCTTCCACCGCACCCCCAAACACCCCGCGGACCGTCAACTCCTTTCTCGCACGCTCATATAAGCCACGCACATCCGACAGGCCCTCGATGGCAGCGTCGTCGCCCGGCATGATCTTCTCCTGGGGAGCACAATTGACCAAACCCTCCAAGACGCCCAGCACCACGCCCGCCCTCACGCCCAGCTGCGCGCCGATGGGGAAGCCCGTGTCGAAGCCTCGCTGCACATGGTCGGTCTTGGCCACCGCGATGCCGTCGCGATACCCCGCCGTGACATGCTGGCGCCGCAGCGAGGGCACATCGGAGGGTTCGGCGAGGGAGCCGGGCGCAGGGGCGGCGTCGGAGGGCGACGCGCCGGGTGTGTGCGTGGGCGAGGAGCCGAAGATGTCGTCGAGGCCGCGCGGGGGACCGTCCGAGTGCGCGGGCGAGCTGACGGCGGTCGAGGGCGAGGCCGCCGCGGAGGCCTGCATGTCGCCGGAGAGAGCGGTGTCTATCGAGCTGGGAGTCATGTGGTGTCGTGTCAAGAGAGCGGAGGGTGAAGAGGGTGATAAGAATTGGAGGTTAGTTAATTAGTTAGCCCGTAGGTAGCTAAGGAATTAATTAGTCTATCTACTCCGTACTAGCAAACTATTTCGCGCTATAGTTATATCACCACGCCACCTTGTACTCAGTCGAACGAAGGATCCGGCGTCACAGCACGATCCAGTTCACAGCCTGCACCGGACATCGCGGCAGATACTCCTTGCCCTCCAGCAGCGTCAGGGCATGCACGTTCCCGATCTTGAACATCCGCGGCGGGCTCTGACCGGTACTCTTCAACAGCAGCCCGTCCCATCCGCCCTTCCTGATCCGCAGATGAACCGCATAGTACAGACCCGCCCCATATATCTCGGGGATAATCTCCTTGATCCATCGCTTCAGACTGCCGTGGTGCATCTCCCCCTGCGGCTGCAGGCGTTCTCTTTTCACAATCGGCCGTGGCACGTCTACGCTCAGCTGGAAGAAACACTTCAGGTATGGGAACCCGGCGTCGCTGGACTCCGACGAGAAGAGGATCTCGACATCCTCCAGGAGCACCGTCCCATCGCCACGGATCCTCCACGTTGCGACTGACGGGTGATCGGTCGCCTCCAAGTGTGGCACGGCGAGAATCTTCTGCTCGTCCATGTTGGCCCGAAACGGCAGCATGGTTCCTCGCGCCTGGTCGTGTTGCGTGACCGGCGGGTCGGTCAGCACCGCCGTGAAGAACGCGGACTGCAGATTGGTGGCCACTTCTTCAACAAAGCACAGCGGATACTGGTCAAATACGAATCCCGGCTTGCCTGGTTGCCGTTGTTCGCGTGCGTCGGGGTCATACCACGCCTTCATACCCAGCACCGACATGATAGCCTGCGCCCGGCTGTGGCTACAGTGCCGACTGGTCGCGAGGAACAGAATATGCTCCCGCTTGAGCCGGTGCAGATCGTCCATGCCTGTTCGGTTCAGAAGCTCGACCAGCTCCAGGAATCCGTGGTGATAGTGGCCTTCCCATTTTGCGGGTAGATATTGCGCCGGCACAGTTGCGTCACCCGCCCCATCGACGACGATATCAATAACCCTTTTGGTGAGGGCGACGACAGTGTTGAAAGCGACCAGTGTTCCCTCGCCCACCGTCAGAAGGTCCCAGTTCTTGGTGCAGAGCCAGATGTCAGGCCGCAGGCAGACCTCCTGTAGCGTCCATAAGGAGCTGAACCAGGGCATCGTCTTCTTCTCTTTCGAAGAGAACATACCAGTCGCTGGTGCATCCACGCCGTCGCCGCGCGGTACTTTGACTGGCCGCTCATTACCGAACTCCAGATTGAGGTAGACCGAAGACATCCAGCGGATCGCGCTGCGCATGCCATCCCAAGTGTCGGGCGATATTTCAGTATTCCACCACGCGATAGCATGTTTAGCACCCTTGAATATAGCGGCCTGGCTGGCAATCTCAGTTACCAGGGTCTTTCTGAGCTGCGGGTCGAGAATCTCGCCACAGTCTTCCTGGGGAATGCACACCAGATCGAACCAGATGTATGGCGTATCAGTCGGCACTTGGGCCAGAATATCGGGCAAGGTGTTGACATCGAACAGCGTGTTCTGCGGAACGAGCCAGGGTACGTTGGGTTTCATGTTCACGCCTGGCTTGCTCCTTTCCCGCCATCGGCCCCAGGTATGGCTGATGGCGGTATATGGTATATCATAATCGTATGTGTCTAGCAAATGCGCCGCCTCCACAGTCTTCCTCTGCTTCGTGTCCCAGAGGTAGAAGGGAAACCCGACAATTTCAGTCAGCCAGGGGCAAGATTCGATGCTGGAACCAGTGGTACAGCGACGATCCAGTCCCGAAAGATCATCCTGACCAAGGCATCTCCTGGGAATCTGGGACTTCGGACGCAGCTCCGACCGGTGATCGAGAGGGTCGTCTCCGAACCTTGGGATTGCAGGGTTTCCCTCGGTCAAAGATTCTAGGGCTACATTCAGACATGCGGCGCCTTGGGCGGCGTACTCTCGTTGGGCGACAAGATCTTCGCCGCTTCGGTATATCTCAAAGTTGTCGAACTCAGCATTGAACAAGAAGGCCAGGGCTGTATTATAGACGCTGTCGAAGCGCAGCTCGTACTTGACGCCCTCGGCTTCGTGAATCTTTTGGCGCACTTTGTTGACCTGGGGGTAGAAGTGTGCCTCTGGGTCGCTATCGGTGTCATCGTCGACGGGGCCGCCGAACAGCTCGTCTTCATCGATGGCAACGCAGGTATACGAGCATGCACGCCACCATTTCCAGAGAATCCAGAACGAGCGCTCTTGCTTCGCAGTGATCATACCCTGCAGCATCTCGCGGCGGTTATTGCCGAGCTTTCTAATTCCGGGCTGGGTACCCTGGGGCGCCGGGGCGCTCTCAATGGCGCCCAGCTCAAGGGCCAGTCGGTACAGATAGGCAAAGCATCTGCTGTACCCATCCCCCATGGCCATCCCGTCCGGGTAGACGACATCCATTAAGGTAGAGAGCGGGATCCCACCATCCCGCTTGACGTGATGAATGGGTATGCGGGTGGGTGTTTTGGTGCCCACAGGCGGGTTGGTGGGGGTTGCATGAGGGCTGTTCTGGTTCATCGTTGGGCACTATTCCTGAGACCAACACTGAGAGGGATAATAACGTTACGTGACAGTCATGGTCGGCACAGCCTGGTGAGAAGCGGCCAAACCCGGCGTAGTGGCAGAGGGGCAGGCTGACGACCGGGGGGGGGGGGGGGGGGGGGGGGGGGGGGGGGGGGGGGCGGGGGGGGGGGGGGGGGGGGGGGGGGGGGGGGGGGGGGGGGGGGGGCCACGAGGGGGTCGCGGTGCAGGGCGCAGGCGGCGCTGAGCAGGCGGAGGGCGAGCGGCGCCAGGAACAGCAGGCCCCAGAGCGAGCGGGCACGCGCGAGTACGGCGGCGCACACGGCCACGGCCGACAGCTCGGCGGCGACGATGGCGCCGAAGGTGGCCGCGCGGGGCCGCGCGCAGGCCTCGGCCACGAAGGGCAGGCGGGGGCCCGCCCGGTCGTGCGGGGCCGCCCAGGCGAAGACGAGGTGGTACACGGCCACTGTGGCGCGCGGGGGGTGCGCGTGGGCGGGGGTGGTGGACGGCGGGAGGCCGAGCTCCGCCGCGGCGGAAGCGGAAGCGGGGGCGGGCAGGGCGGGCAGCGGGAGCTGGCGGAGGGCGGAGACCCACAGGGCGTTGCGCACCGCCCGCGCCGTGGGCGGGCTCTCGCCGGCGCGCGTGTACGTCCACGGCGTGCAGGGGAAGAACGGCGTGCCCAGCATGCGGCCGTCGCGCGCGCCCCCCAGCAGGCCGTGCGCCGCCACCCGGTCCGCGGCCTCCAGCGCGGCCTTGTGCAGCGGCCCGCCCATCGGCAGCAGCAGCGCCAGCGCCGGCAGCGCCGACACCGGCACGAACGCCAGCGACCGCTGCGGCCACAGCAGCGCCGCAAACCACAGCTCCGTCGCCGCCTCCGCGCCGATGTAGCCCAGCACCGCGCCCACCGCCCCGAACACGCCGCCGCCGCCGTCCATGGCAAGGAGGAGGAAGTAAGAAGTAGTTAGTAGTTAGTTAGTTAGTAGTTCACGAGGCGAGACGGACCCGCATGGAGTACTTATACTCCATGGACAGGCTGCCCGTCACCGCCCCAGCCACGGCCGCAGTGCGTGGTCCGTCAGGCTGCATGATTAGTTTCTTTGATTTGGGCCATGTCCACGGTCTGGAGTATGTATGGACGCCCACTTGCAGCCAGTAGGCCATGCCTACCATAAGTTTATGAAATTTTCAATCGCTGTCAAACGTCTAGGATGTTTGCGGCCGCACCAAACCCCTTCTGGTTTAGTTAACTAACTACCTACCTTATCAACCACAGCCAGGACGGCGAAATACTCTGCCAGCGATGCTCCCTGTGCGCAACGCCAGATCGATTCTTCGGCCACTGTGCAGAAGCAGAGCTGGCTTGAGCACCGCCTGCGGCCAGGGCCTGTTTGACTACACCTCCGGTCGCTGGCTGTATGATGAAGACCTCCAGCTTAAACGGCGATATATCGAGTTCAATGTCAATGCTCTCCAAAGGGCTGCCGGCCGGATCCTCGGCCATAGCTGTTCTCAAATTACAAAGCTACCAGAAGGATTTTATAATAAAGTTTTTTTGTTGAAGACAGAGCTGGGCGGGGAGACTCTTGCCAGAATTCCAAATCCTAATGCAGGCTCGGCTGGCTATGTTATTGCTAGTGAAGTGGCTACACTTGATTTTGTATGTTATGCTTCTCCATGTTTGTGCCTTAACGCCCTGCTGATCTTAATCGGAACCTTCCTCCCAATAGCTTCGTAACGTCCTTGATATCCCGGTGCCTGAAGTTATTGATTGGAGTCCACCTTCCACACAGCCCGATGCGGTCGGTGCTGGCTACATGCTAATGAAGAAAGTGAAAGGCTGCCAGCTGAGCGAGGTATGGCCAGATATGTCCGAAGCTCAGCGATTTCGGTTGGTGAAGAGTGTGGTTGCGATCGAAGCAAAGCTCTCTTGTCTCGGCATACAGGGCTACGGCAGTATCTATTATAGAGATTCATACCCCAATGGTATGCCTCTTGAAATATCGGCGCCTGATCAAGGCTCTGAAACGGATGTTCTCGAAAAGTTTGTGCTTGGCCCCAGTACAGACAGAAATTTTTGGGTAGATGGGCGAGAATCTCTAGAGATGGACCGGGGCCCATGTACGTTGATCGAATTCTGTCTTGACTGTGAGGTTTACTGATATCAACCCGCAATCCCAGGGAGCACGGCGGCGGAGTACATCTCGGCCATAGCGAAACGTGAAGTACTCTGTATTCGGAACTCTGTGCCCAACCAATCTCGATTTCACGCGTCAAGTCTAGCGAAAGGAGACAGAGCTCGTGAAGCACATATCAAACTCCTACATCAATTCCTCACCCTTTTGCCCCATATCTTGCCACCCGTGAATATAACCCAGGCTGTTTTATTGCATCATGATCTGCACGCAGATAACATTTTCATCGACATCGATGACCCAACTAAGATAACTGGGATAATTGACTGGCAGGCGACCTATGCTGCTCCACTTTTCCTGCAGACAAGATTTCCCTCGATATTTGACTGCGAAGACCCATATCCATGGGGTGCAGTGCAGCCTGAGCTGCCCAAAGAGTTTGACAGCATGACAGAATTAGACAAGCAAGCCGCCGAGCAACAATTTTCGAGGCTGAGGTTAAAAAAATTCTACGAACTGGCGTCGAGGAAATTCAACCCTGACATTCCCCGAGCGATGGATGCCATGAGCAACGATGACGACCCGACGTCTTTTATCTTCCATCTTCTCGGGCAGACTTCCGTAGATGGTCCGATTCCGTTTCAAGAATTGCTCATACAAGTTTGCGAGAAATGGGACATACTTTGTGCCAAACGTGGGTCCGGCATTCCTTGCCCCGTTAGTTTTTCTAGCGACGACATTTCAAGGCACCGGGAAAAGGCTGCGTGTTGGGCGGCGATCTATGGTGAGTTGAACGATCTGCTTGTCACCGTTGGCGGCAAGGATGGGTGGGTGTCGCACGACGAATATCCGGCGGCATTGCTCAGGTTTAACCAGCATCGGGAAGCCTTGAAGAAGCTTCGCGGGCAGTTGGAGGAGACCTTGGAGGACGCTTGTTATTTGTAATTTGGTTGAAACCGCATGGGTGCCTCTCCAGTGTTTTGGCTTTGGACAGCCTCACCCTGCCTGAATCCGCCCATGGACGCACCCGCTCTGGGGGCGAGCAGGGTTGATGCCCGCGTGGGCTGGTCGCTCTTCCGCCGTGCATGCTCATGGCAGACACCAGAACCTTTTTTGGTTGTTTTTGGCACCAGGTTGGGCATGGGCATGGCAACACGAAGCACAATAATCAACGCTGCTCTCCCACGCCCGGCGACGGGCTCGTGGTGGACGTGATCTGCGAGCCAAAGCCAAACACAAATCATCGTCTGGAGCGGCGAATCGTCGTATCGTCGTGTGGCTCCCCACGCCCGCTCGTGTGCCCAAGCCGACTGCGCGCCACGGATCCGCCAGACCACCAAGCCGGCGCACGGCCAGCGGCCCCGGCTCGCGCTGGAGGAAGCGACTCGAGGGAGGGCGCTCGCAATCCTCCAGCGGCCGCCCAGACACGCCTGGCGTACGCCTCTGGCGGCGAGGGATCGCCGCGGCCGCCCAAGCCCAGCGCTGAGACATGCGGCGGGAGGCCAGCCGCTGACGGGCCCGATCCCTGCGAGCGCCGCGCTATTCTTGGGGCTGTCGACGATCATCCTGGCAACGCATGAATATGCCGGTACGGAGGACATGCCCTGCGCGGCGCTTTTGCTTTTTCGACGCCGTTCCGCGCCCTTCCAGCACGGGTATTTATCATGGCTGTTCGCTGGGGCGGGAAGCATAAATAACAGATAATAATACGGTCACGCCGCGGCGGCGGATGCTCCAGCAGTTATTAATAATCCCAGCGTCGCTGGATACGCAGCCCGCACCACCTCTTCCGCCAGAGCTGGCCCTGCAGTTCGAATCCTGATCCGACGCGACCCAGACCCCATCGATCTCTCAGCCGTCGTCCTCCCCGGCCCTTTTAATCTAGGCGACTGCCCGCCTGCGCCCGTCCGATCCCTTCAGCCCTGTTCCCCCCAGCGCAGTATGGGATCATGGCTGCCTCCAGAGCCTTTCCGCTGCCCAGCTACCGCGATGACGACCTCGCCGCTGCCGGCACCAAGATGCTGTCGCGCTCCGTCCAGCGAATGTCGGCGAAGATCCTGAAGTCGACGCTCCCGAAGCCCAAGGCCAAATCGACCAAGTCCGTCCACTTCGAGGCCCACCTCGAGTCTGTGTGCTACTTCATGAAGGACGACGAACCGTGTTTGATAGCGGCGCGCATATCAGCCGTCAAACGGACGGCCGGCGACTGTGACCCCCTCAGAGAAGCGCCGCTGCTGTTGCACGACTCGACCTGTGTCCTCGATCTGATCTCCAGCCGCCGCGAGCAGGATGCCCCGGTGCGCGTGGAGCAAGTCTATCTCTCCCACCCCAAGTCCGTTACCGGCACGCTGGCCGTCGCCAGCCTCTCCTTCATGGAGCACGTCAAGGTGCGCTTTTCACTGGACGGCTGGCAGACCGCCTCCGAGGCGGCCGCCGAGTACTGCGGCAACCATCGCAAGGACGGCTTCGACACGTTCGGCTTCACCATCCGCCTGGACGACTGCAGTGCCGCCGGCAAGACCATGTCCTTCTGCGTCGGCTACGTCGCGAACGGCCAGGAGTTCATGGGCACCAACCCCTCGAGCAACTACGAGATCGAGCTCTCAAAGCTAGCCGGCAAGCTGGCCGCGCCACCGGGCATTCTGCGGCCCGCGACCCCATCACCGCCTGCCAGCAAGTCGAGATTTGCTGCCTTTTCTCGCTGGCCCGCCACCGGCCCTGCGGCGAGGGCCCAAGCGGCCAATGCCCAAGCGGTAAGTACGGCCCCTCGTCGATCATGTCCACTGCGAAATGCTAACGCAGGACCAAGCCAGAATGCGCCGCTGTGGAAGTACATGGACCGCCTCAGCAGCAACGCCAGCTCGCTCTCTGCTCGCCAGATTCGCCTGCTATAGCACGCCCCCGCACCTCTCGCACTCTTGTCCGACCTTCTTCGCTTAACCTGTGTATGGACACCGCACGCTTTATGCGTTTATCCTCGTTGCACAGTGTCACTCGTGCCGCGCAGGTCATGTAACAATCTCTCGACTAATCCCCCTTTTACCATCGGTTCATTCATGAATTACGATTTTGATTCTTTGCTGAGATGCACTTTAGCTACGGTGTTGGGTTGGGTTTGCAGGATCTGTTTTTTGTTTTCGCTTGTTCTCCTTTTTTTTTCTTCTGAATCATAATGGTACATAGATACAGAAAAGCTGCATACGGGTTGGAAAATTTTGGCATTTCGTTTCGGAGCAGGGATTCTGGTTAAAGCAACCCCTGTTGCTTCATTTCGCTGGTTTTATTTTTATTTTTGATTTCACTGTCCCCGCATTATGTCTCAAACTTCTCTTGTCTCCGGGCTATCCTTCTTAAACCGAGGATGCAAATTAAAGCAGACAGAAAAAAGCGTTGGGCCCGTTGTCAACGGCCCGTATGATTGATCAGAGTTTGGATTCGGATAATAACTAATGTATGTATGTGCGCTGTGACACACATCAAAACCCGATACCTAGCCTTGCCGTCTGTCAAGCATTGCCTCTTTGGTACATCCGAGGCTGTCTGTCTACCAATGGAATATCCCACGACCCACGCGGCGATGACACCTCTCGGTCGCGAATCCGACGAAGACGAGGCCGTGGGCCTGGATCTGTCTCGATTACAGTCATGCATGGCCCATGCTATCTCTGTGGATGACTGGCAGTGTGGGTAAGAATGGACAGGCCTGCGTATGACTTGATTCCTATCTTTATCGTCCCATGGGCTGACCTGAGCCTCCGGGTTCCAGCGGAGTATCCGGCCCCCTTTCGCTTATGATGCTTGCCAGTTCGTATGTACAGGCATATTTCACCAAATAATATCTCCGAGCATATAATGAACGGGGATAGGTATGATATAGCTCGCGCCTACAGTACATGCATGATACAGAATGTAGGATCGCAATCGCCATCACGAACGGCCTCGCTTGCTGTGACAAAAAAATACAAATCAGGCCTCGAGCAGTAGTGGCGGTCTTCCACATCGCCCTGATCTTCAGAGTTGCGATCGACACGATAAGCTATTGTGGCACCACTAGTTACTTGTGGCATTCTGGAAACGAAGATCCGAACTTGGGCTCGTATCCTGCAGAGTTTTTTGCACCTATGAACTGCCCGCGCGCTGCACAGGTGAGTCTTTTGGCCTTTGCCATTGTTCTGCGCTGGCGAGATCTCGTCTTTGAGAGCAATCCCGCCACAGAAAGCAGGATTTACTCTGGCGAATCACCTCTCCCTTCTGCAGCGGTGTTGCAATCAACCGTAGCAGTCGGCCTTATCGATTGGTTCCCAAAGGTGATGACTATACGGAGTAGATGTTATACGGCTTCTGTCATGTCAGCTACATGGTCTGACAGCAGTGGTCATCGCCCGTAGGCCTTCGTGCGGGAAGGCGGTTATTAGACACAGAGTTTACACAAACGGAGGACGTCGGAATAAATCTCAGCTAAACCGCTAGTTGTGAGTCCCGCGAGACTGGAAGGACGCTGTTCCACGACAGCGACGCAAAAAATTGGGGTGGCTGGGTTCAAGGTATCCCTTTCCAATTTCCTCATCTGGAATACTCGTCGCGCAACTCAATCTCGACAGGCAGGGGTACAGCCTTGTTCTCTACAAGGGTTACGTTGTCTTGTCCGCTTGTAGTCTTGATACTGCGCTCGTGGCGTGTAGAATGGACGCGGGGGCTCCGGCATGGATGTATATTCATCCATACATACTACTCTGTACGTACGGCGAAGTCAGAGCACCACAAATCGATACGGAGAGCATAAAATAATACCAACCACCGCTGGCCAACGGGAGTCTTTTTGCCCTTTGGGGCTGCACCCTGTTCAGACGAAAACTCTGGTTCGTGGTTGGCGCAGGCCTGTTCACGATGGGGCCGCCGTGGGCAGCGAGCATGGGTTGGCGAGAAGCACCTGTTCTGCGGCAGTCAGACTCGGCACACTGTTCGCTCTGCACAAACAAGAGAACCGTGAGCGGATTTGCTCGGGTTTGCAACGGGCGTGAAGCCGGTTTATGCCACGGAGACAGTTACACGCGTACACAGCTTCAAAGCCGTTCCAGGCCATGTCTTGTCAGGCGGCCTGGCCCACCGCCCGCCGGTGCTTGTGCCAAAGCAGCTGGTTGCTCTGCAGGCGCGCGACGGCAGAGAACCTGTTGTCACCGCATCGATGATCTGGAGGCCTCCATTGCTTTTTCGTCTGGCAGGCTTGGCTGGCATCATTGTAGAGATCGTGTGAACACATCCTAATCCTAACATCGGCCAGCATGCCCGAATCCTATTTTTATGCCGGTAAGATGCGGTTTCCGCAAGGTTGTTCACGGTATTCGCTTCGGGCTAGGCACAGGGGGGTGCCTTGAAGCTGTCACCGCCAGACCCCCGTCGCCAGGGGATCGCCAACGACACCGCCCTTCGCCTCGCGGCTAGTTCTCCAATCGTCGCGGTTGCGATGAGGACAGGCAAGCCAAAATATTCAGTCTGGAGGCGCGTCGATGGGACGAAGAGAACTGCCGTTGAAGTTGGTTTGCACGGACTTGCGTCGCCTCCTGGGCCCCGAGCATGAAGCTGCACTCTTCGAACATTGAAGCCGTAGAATAGGGTAAGCTTCCGTATCGTGCGGTGATGGATTTTCACCATATTATTTGTGAGAAAGTGCGCCCTTCATGTCATTCTGACTTAAGTCCTGTCCCAACTCTGATTTGTGGTAAGGACAAAAAGGTTTCCAATACGAGGGGCTAGTTGAATTTACTGAAACAGTTCAGGAGAGAGCCCAAGGAGTTGACGATAAAGCGGAGCTTGAAACGGTTAAACATAATGGTTTGAGTCAATGGCTCTCAAGCCACGTCACACTATTCTGCTGCTCAAGTTCAACACCTGAACAAAGATATTCTCCTCACCCCTTTTGTTTTTAATATATCTCTGGAGTACTCCGTGCGGAGCACCCGTCTCTTTGATGAAGATTGAATATGGCCGAACTACCAAAAGACCAGTTCATAAATAAGGTAGGGCCAGAAATCCGAACGGCGAGGCTAATTCTGCGGCCCCTGCGTGACACAGACGCTGAAGCTGTGTTTGACTTACGATCCCGCAGCGAGGTCATGGTCTGGAGGTAGGCACCAAATAACCAACGCCATTCTCAGAGACGAGAAATGTCTATATTTAAGCCATTCAGCATGCCGAGACTGACATCCATCTGCGAGCAATCAGCCAAACCAAACTGCCCGACCCCGACCTCCCCGCCACTCTGAGAAGAATGTGTCGATGGAATGAAGCAGGCAATCTGGGCATGGCCATGGTGGAGCTCTCCAACCCCAGCCGTCTGGGCGGAGTCCTTGAGTATAACACGCGAGACGGTCGGATGGAAGTAGGATATCTCATCCACCCTGACCTCTGGGGGCGAGGATATGCCACCGAGGCTCTCAAGGCGGCGATTCAGGCATGGTGGGAGGGGTACGAGGCGGATAGACCGCCGGAGGGCATGGCAGACGAGCTGTACGCCGTCACGCACACAGGCAATGTGCCCAGCTACCGGGTGTTGACGAAGTGCGGGTTCGAGAAGACAGAGGACTTTCAGGATGAGCACGGCCCTGGAGAGGTGTGGCGGCTGAGACGGCGTGTAGAACAAGTGGACAAGTAGTTGACTAGCCGGCCAGCGTAGTTACTGTAAAGGTAGAGAGAGGCCCGTTTGCCCTGCTGTTCCGTCTTGTGAGCGCGCACGGCTGACTCAGCAGCAAACGCCCAATCGAGATATTTTATATCGCGAACAGACCGTCGAACACAAACGCCTCTACCTCTATAGCCACAGCACGCGGGCACAGATACCCACGGATCTCGAGCAGCTGCTGTGCTGTCCACCGCTGTCCGCAGCATGCCGGAGCCATCCCCCCAACTTATCCCGGACCAACCGCCCGCCCAATCGCAATCGCCCCGTCTCAACAACTCTACCAAACTCCTCATCGGCGGCTCGATCTTCTTTGCGCTCTCTGCTCTCATCACTCGTCGCTCTCTTTCCCGTCGACGTATCGCATCCATCCCTCCATACTACACCAGTGCGACCAACCACAAGCCGCCCGTCAATGGAGCCATGGAAGCCCTTGAAGCGCTCAACATCGCGTCCATCAATGTTGTCAGTCTCGCCATGCTCGGCGTCGGCGGCGCAATGCATGCTTTTGAAATAAACACATTGGATGATTTGCGGAGAAAGGTCCGCGGTGGCTTGGGCGCCGACGGGTCGGGCAGAAGCGAACAGCAGGTCGAAGAGGAGTTGGAGGAGTGGGTCGTTACGGTCCTGAATAGAAAAGCAGAAAAAGAGAAAACAGGCCAGCGGACGGGCGATCAGGGCGCCACAAACGAGAGAGGAAAAGAACGGTAGCGCGCGCTTGCTCTCCGCTCCTTACACTCCGCCCGTCATTGTGTCGTGTGATGTTCTGCCGACATGTCCGAGTGAGGTGTGGCTGGCCCGTGTGGGAGCTATAGCTGGCGTGGATATCTTGCCCGCGTCGATATCATTGACCATACTGCACACCGGACCTGTGGATGGGGAAGAGTGGGATTCGATATACTATGAGGTCTCCGGCCCACCCCTGTGTATTATACGCAAAAGTGTTTATGGCGTTATTATATTTGGCGTGATATTAAGGAGTTACTCCGCAGTGCAGGATAACTACTGCGTGTTCATGCCTATGGCCTGTAAAATACAGAGTATGGCCTATGTTACATAACACCCTAACAAGACCACCAGAAGCAAGTTGACCTCAAGTCAACTCAGTTGCGCTTGGTGCAACAGACATGCGAAAATAATAGTATGGGTGTATGTACATATATGCATGCACCCCACGAACGCATCAAAGCCTGGCCTACAACCTTCACCCTTCCCTTTCCTTCATCCTTTCGTACCTTTCCCTCGCAAGGTCCTTGGTCTTTTCTAGAAATTCATCATACCGCCCCCGGGTGTTTCGGCCCGCTTCTTGTACTGCGTCTCCGATTTTCGATCCCTGCGCACCAAGGCCGACGCCCTGCGCGTAGAGGTCAGTGCTGACGGGCGCTGTAATTCCGGTGCCTTGGACTCCGAGGCCAGTTCCAGCAGACCAGCCCATCTTGCCCAACAGTGAGGCACCCTTTGATACTGCCGGCGCCGTGGGCGGTTCCGCTTCTGTCTCTTTCTTCTCCTTCGACTTGTTGGACGACCCAAATACTTGGCGTCGCTCCTTGGCCCGGTCCCGATACTCACCTGTTGGCTGAAGAGATTGTTCTGGCTGTTCATCTCGTTTCTTGGCCATTTTTGCAACTGCCCTGGCTTTGAAATCTTCATTTTGCAAGTTTTCACGGTGAAGCTGGCTCAGCTTTTCATGCCGATTCACTTCTGCGATGGTTTTAAACTGCCGCATGCAGAGGTAGCAGCATTTCCGGTTCAGGTCAGCATACGATTGCGTTGGCTGGCGAGCAACAGAGGTGGTAGTGTTGCTACCATTGCCATCACCTGGGTCAGCAGAATTAGGGCTGTCGCCTTGTTCTTCGCCGTCCTGTTCGTTACGCCGAATTCCATGCAGTTCTGCGTGCCTGTTACTCCAGAACTGTAAATGCGAAGGCACTGCTAATTTTTTGTTTCCAGGAGGAACCCCTGGTTCAGCTTTTCGTTTCTTGTTTTTGTCGTTATCCTTTGACGTTTTAGCCGATTTGCTGGTGGGCGCGCTCTGTTTTGGTTTAGATTTCGTTGCCAAGTCCTCCGATGAAACTTTCAGCTCAGTCACATAGGCACCTTCATCCCAGTAGGCCAATTTCATTATATTATTCCCAAGTGGGCTGAACGTAAAGCGCTCGGTGCTTGCTGTAGGGTTGAGGACCGGTACGAAAACACCAGCGTGAATATAACTCGCGAGTACAGGTTTTGATGAAATGGTAAAAACTTCGAATGAATTATGCCGGATGAGGGCAGCTTGGGCATCCTGCTACAGTGAGCATGAATCTATGACAGGTATTATTGCGATTACATACCTCGACAGTTGCAAATTCAGCAAACCCATATTTCCAACTTTCATTACTTCGTCTATCTCTCACGAGTAAAATACGACGAATGGAGCCCTCTCGAGCACCTAAATTAGAGTCACCCGTTGTTGATGCAACCTTGGCGCCTTTTTTGGCGGCAGCGATAGCTCCTTGAGATTGAGAGCTAGGCGAAGGCTTATAAAGCTTAGCAACACCTTTAGCCAATATTTCCTCAGTGACAGTTGATTCAAGGCCACGGAAGAGTAAGAACTGTGAAGGTGTGCCATCAGGTGAAACATCGTTATCACCGGTGTTGGCGACTCGCTGAGTCGACTCACTACCAGCTGCCTGAACGTCTGTGGTGTCTGAAGATTAGAAAAATAACGAAGAGGTAAAAATAAGACGGGACAAAAAACATACCGGTACGAACAGCGTGACATCGAAAGCACCGCTGACGAGTCGCATAGTTTGCTAGTGTACACTATGAAAAAAATAGTTGTTAGATCCAACTGGCTGTGAATGGAGGTAGGGACTGTGGATCGCATTGACGCACAACTTTACATGTCCATTCACCTTCAGCCCTGATACGGTTACGGTCTTCCCTCTCTCGGCTATATGCAATTCTCACCTTGACTCCACGGTCAGTAGATTGCGAGTTGGCACCTTGTAGGTATATGGTTGGAAAATTCCGCTCCAAAAAGTCCCGAGAGGAGTCTAGTGAGCGAAAACGGAGGAACCCAAGCTGACGAGAGATCCCTTCGAAGGGCAGTTAGTGACACGTCACCGAGCGAGACGGGCGCTGCTTACTTGTTTGGCGATCTCTTATAACTCGGATATCTTCAAGATCTTCAACATGGTAAGAATGCTTCAGTTCGTTGGAAATCTGTTCTCAAAAAGTATCGACCGGAGAGAAGTCCGGCGATATGCATATCTCAGTATACAATCAAACCAGAAAGGAGAGAGCTTGAAGGCCGGGACAGGAGCCAGATGAAATTCCAATAATTGTTGCCAAGGGGTACGGGAGTACTTGAGCAAGGAGGGGAGGGAGGAGTGAGTCCAACGTCGTCTTCATTCATATCTATAGGCAAGCCTTCCATCATAACCTCGCGGCTTTCGATGCCATAGTGTGGAGGACGTTGACGCCGACTTCGACTTCTGGACCGACTGCGGCTGTGGCTCGGGCTGTAGCTTCGTCTACGATCGTCGTATGTTGGAGAGCGGTAGCCTTCGCGGTCGTGGTGTCGGTAGCCTGACCGATCGCGCCATGAGGGGGGAGAGCGCCGGTGGTCATCGCGCTCTCTTCCACGGTAGTCGCGACCTCTTGAAGAGGAGGTTCCGTCATCATCGGTAGGCCTTCTGTCTGCAGCGGACCGGCGAGGGGGCATATTTCGACTCATGTCTTCTTAAAGTAGTAAGATTGAGATATCAGCACAAGATCCAAAGAGTAGCATCCGCTATCCATGTAGGCTCGATTGCGTAAAAGTTAGCTTTTACCATGCGGAGGAGAGCAGGTATTGCCCGGCGAGTGGTCTCGGCCTCTGGCGGGAGGGTTCGCCAACAAAGAGTGCGAGCGTGGTGGTGACTGCGAGACGCGATCGTCGTACATGCGGCCGTTCCTATCGTCGAGGCGATAGGGCGGCCGGTAGTTGGGGGCGTAATGAGACATAGAGAATTAGGAGAGAGGGGGAAGGTGATGAAACGGATAACGAAGACGAGCAGACGGGGGACGAAGGGCAACAAGACAAAAGATGGAGATGATACATATGAGCCGCGATTTTGCGCTGGCGTAGGAATTGCGTTGAGGACAGGCGATTAGTTACTCAGCGCGTTCGGAATAATGATAATGCGCCGGGATCGGATTATCTATTGCTCCGGGCGTCCTTTTTGCACCCCAAACCTCCTCGCTCATATTCTAAATTATTTCATTGGGATTCTATTATGTATTCTAAATAGGAAGCAGTGTTATTGCCGTACAAGTGTTGATGCTCACTAGTCCCTATCTCGATGGCTGCTGTCGATCACTGGCTTGTTGCGCATGGCCCTGTCGATGTCCGCCATCACCTCGGTCGTCAGGCGTGACAGCACCCTCAAGGCCTGCACACTGTCGACAACCTGTCCCGGGTGCGATGCTCCTATTAGCACTGAAGCCACATTGTCGTGTTTGAGACACCATGCCAGTGCCAAGTGGGCCACTCTCACCCCCAGCCTGTCCACTACTGGCTAGAGAGTTGTCAGTTGGCACCCCACGCAGCATGATTGCCCGCACTCCTTACATACCTTGAGCCTCTCAACTTTTCGAGAATAGGCGGTGTTCTCATGGGTGGGCGGTCTGTTGGCTGAGACGCCGTGCTGGCCATCCGCCATGTCTGCGAACCTCACTCTGCTCGTCGGCTGAGCGGGCGTAAGATCAGCGGCTAACACGCCGTTTTTCAAGGGCGAGGTAGTGACCAGGCCCATGCCGTATTTGGAGTATAGGCGATGGAACTCTCCATCGACCTTTTGGCGATCGAGGAGGTTGTACACCGGCTGCTCGACGATAGGCGCCGCAAGCCCGAACACCTTTGCAATGCGGCAAGCCTCCGCAATCTCGTCTGCAGACCACATGGACGTGCCCCAGTAAAAGGCCAGCCCGTTTTCGATGAGGTAGTTGAAGGCACGGACTGTCTCCTCCATGGGGGTCATCTGGTCTGGGCGATGAGCACGCACGATGTCGACGTACTCCAGGTCCAACCGCTTGAGGGAAGCGATGGTTGCTTCGATAACGTGCTTGCGCGAGAGCGTATGGTCGTTGACGGAGGTCTCGCCGTTTGCTGCGCCATAGTTGATCTAGTGGCGGCAGAAGGTCAGAGAGAGAAGACTGGAGAGCAGCTCTTGACACCGATCACAGAGATAGAAACAGAGTGCTACCATTGTGCTGATCACTAGCCGGCTGCGTTTCCAGCTGAACCGCTTGATGGCACGGCCCAGAGCGACCTCCAGCTGGCCGGTTGAGTATCTGCAGCGGTTGTTCAGCGGGCTTTGCGGGACAGCTACGCCCCAGGACAGACAGCTCTTACTTCTCGGCTGCATCGAAGAAATTGATGCCCAGGTCGTATGCCTGCTTCATGCAGCGCAAGGTGCCTTCTAGTCGTAGTTCTCAGCGGGCCATGCAACAAGTGTGTGTGTCTGGGTGCTTACCCTCGTCGACCTGGCCTCCCAGCCTGGCGCGCGCTTGTCAGTTCACTGCCTATCTCGCTGGCTGATGCAAAGAGACGCTGGGCAACGTACGTGAGCCACTCGCCCAGGCCGATGACCGAGACATACAGCCCGGAATCTCCCACTCTGCGGTAGAGCATCGCTGGCGGGTCGTCGCGGCGGGGGACGGGCGGGCAGGTTCGAGGCCAGCCCCTGGAGCAGGCCATGCCATCGCGAGGCCCGGCCGGACCCCTCGTCGCCTTTTGTGCTCAGGGATGGCTGCGGCCGTGGGTGCTGGGGCGAGAGCCTCGAGCGCGCAGAGACTCGTTATTGGGTGCTTTGCGATGCAGCCTCTCTCTCGGCGGCATGCGCGCAGGCCAGCATCGCGACGCTGCAGTTGCAGCACATAACTAGTCAGTGAACCAGTTATCTATCCAGGGGGCCATCAGTCAGTCAGGGCAAACACATGAAACGGCCTGGCGGAGCAGGCCAGCTTCTTGCTCCCGCCCGTCTCTGCGGCCGTGCGAATCACCAGCCGCCACGGCGAGGAGGCTGGGCTTCCTGCGATCGCGCGGCCTTCGCACTCGACCAGCCTCCCGCCCAACCACCACGACGGCCACGGCACAAGGCGCGCGGCGGGGAATAAGAGTCGCCATGGCTGCTGTCACTCGCTACCGGTCGTCAGCCCGCTCTTGGATCGGGCCTTTGCCGCTGTGCTGCGCTCCCTTCACTGCCGCCCGCCGCCTTCACCATCGCGCCGCTGACCGTGGCCACCATGGTCGCTGGAGCATCTGCTGCTTTAAAGACCGTTGACAGTAAGAAAGGCACCTACCTGCCCCGAGAGGAAACCCTTTGACGAGCCTGCGCTGACTCTGCTCGCCATGGACAAAGGAAGCCGCCCGCAGCTTGTGCACACTCCGTCGCAGCAGTCTGTTGCTGCCTCCTCCGACTACTACTCTTTCTCCAACGCCAGCATCGGCTCAGACCGCAGCAGGCTCACCGTCGTGCGATACCAGACGCCTCCCTCCCGAACTGCGTCCCCTGGCCTGAACATGCGGCAGGAAGATGCATCGCGGCAAGCCCCGCAGCCAGCGCGCTCTGTTTCCCAGGCTGGTGCACGAACCGAGACTGGAACCCCGACGCCTGGCGTGGACGACACTCCTTATATTCGCTTTGCAATCGATCAACTGACTCGCGATGAAGAGCTGCATGGCCGAGGCCGCCGGGGGACTGTTGCCAGCACAGATGATTACCCTGTCGAACGAGTGATGCCCGATGAAGCACTAGGATATCATAACTCCACCTCAAGAGAGACGGATAATCAGATGGAGGACGAGAAGGAGGTGCCTCTGATGCGCCCGGAAGGTAGAGTAGGACCCTTGACTTTCCCTGGTCTATGCTCTGACAACTAGCCTGGCAGAAATCTTGATACCAGCAGACGTTCCTGCGGAAGGATACGAGTATAACCGGCTCAATGCAGTGCCACGCCCCTTACGCCTGTCACTACTCAGCCCTTTGATTATCTTATGCTTGTGTATGATTGCAGCATTGGTATTCTGTAACACCTGGCCTGTAAAGCATGATGGTCTGTGGGACTACAGCGGATTTGGGGACTCGCGATACTTCGTTTTCGAATTTTTACCGCAGCTATTGGCTATACTGATCGTTATCTGGATCTTCGTTGTCCAAGCTGCTGTTTATCGTGCCATACCACTCTCCATCCTCGCTCGCAAAACTTCCCGGAAACGAGTACTCCAGGGGCTACCTATGGTGCCACAGAACTTTCTGTTGCCAGATCTATCTCACTTTCGGCATGGTGAAGCCCTGATTGGAATATGCCTCGTTGTTTTCTGGCTCACGAATCTAATGATCGTACCCCTTCAGAGCTCTCTGTTTCAGCCTAAATGGTATGGCAGTGCTGATTCTGGCGCGTTCCAATGGAATACGGTCCGCCCTGTTGCGTGGCTGCTAGTCGCGCTGTATGTCATCCTTACGGCTGCTCTGATCACTATCATGGCTCGCTTCAACTTGGGGATCTCTGGGCTGCAATGGGACCCGGTCAGCCTCGCCGACATTATTCCCCTTATTCAAAAATCCAACGTGCTCCATGATTTTGATCAGTCGGAAATTTCCCGCGAAGTGGAACAGCATATCCCGTCGCGAACGGTGCGCTTGGGCTACTGGCGGACTTCGCTTAATCCCAATATTTTTTATGCTCTAGGCGAAGAAAACGCCCCCGTACACCGCCTCGCAGAATGGAGAGACAGCTACACCGAGAAAAACGGCGTTAGAGATACGATTACTGAGGAAGATGTTGAGCGACAACAATTGAACGCAAAAAATTCATTTGAAAGGAGCCTCCACTCCCCCTTTGTTCGATTTCGATGGATACCCTGGTTCTTGAAGGATACTGTTGTCGTGGTCTGGACTGCTGTTGCGGTTGCATTACTGATTACGTTCATTATCATCAGCTTCGTCAATCGCCCAATTTACAATGGATTTCTTCCTCTGCTGCCAACACTTTCGACATCATCAGGATTCTCGCCCTCCAATTTCCTCTACAGTTTCATTCCTGCCTTGATTGGATCTCTGTTCTTCCTCGCATGGCAACCTTTTGATGTGTATTTCCGAACCATTCAGCCATTCTGCTCACTATCCTCGCCTAATGGAGCCTCCGCCGACTCTAGTCTCCTCCTTGCTTACAACTCCTGCCTTCCCTTCGAGGCCACTTTTCTTGCGCTCTCCAATGGCCATTATAAGGTTGCATACGTCTCGTTTGTGTCTGTCATGTCCCTAGCTATCCCTGTTCTTGCTGGGGGTTCCTTTATGGCTCGCTGGTATCCCTCTCATGGCGAAATTCGGATGTCCACGCACTTACCCGCCTATTATGCCCTTATGGTGTTTCTGACGATCTATATGTTGTCATTTTTTGCTCTGTGGCCTCGACGTAAGAGGTATCTTCCACATCAACCATCCACATATGCCGATGTGATTAGTTTTCTCTACCAAAGCCCTCTTCTGGTGGATACGACATTTTGTGACTCGAAAACTAAAGCGGATCTCAATACAAGAGCGAGTAACCCTCCCCCCGGAGAAGGCAACCAAGCACTCTATGCGTTTGGTATTTACCATGGACTGGATGGAAAGGAACATCTTGGAATCGATATACTAAGAAGAGCTGAGCGAGGAGATATGTTGGTTTCCCCACCGCCTGGAGGAAGATCTTTCGTGTAGTAAACACATGTTCCTAGCATTTCCTGCTGCATTACCGGAGTTTTTTGTATTTGCATATAGCGGCGGGATTTAGATTTCTTTACATTTTGCTGGATGATTGATGACTGGTATGGAGTATGCTCACGATCATGAAATAGACAACTCTACTTTAATCGAATTGGGCGAAGAGGCTGATTACTCTATATGATGGTTTCAAGTTGAACTTATTGTATGTATGTGCTGTACGAAGCACTGCATACATATTTCAACATCTGTCCCGTGCTATGGCCCGAAACTAACTGTTCGTACTGTGTCTCCGTATGTCGTATGAAGTACGCAATAGATGCGTCTTTTTTTATACATAAAGAATAGAGCGTCGCTCGTTTTCAAAGTGTCTCCGGAGGCAGGACCGTAGATCAAGTAGAGATAAAAACAGACATGCATTTAAGTCAGAAAGATTAGAAGATAGGGTTAATAAAGGATTTTCTTGACCAGTTTATAAAGCCGAGTCCTTCGTTTCCTCTTTACTTTGGGTTCTCTACTGCTTCCTGAATTCTGGCAATCACTTGACAGGGACTGGGTTTGGGTGACGCTGTTGTTTGACGACAAATTAATATTATTGCTATCCGTATCGACAGCTGTCTCTGTAGGTTGATTGTGATGCGCGCGGATAGTGGCTGAATCTGATTCTCTCATCTTTTGTTTCCATTCGAACTGTACGCTATCACGAGGCGGTGCAAGCTCCAAATGAACGGACTGCGTTGTACTTTGAGGTTGGTTGTGAACTAATGGAAAATTTGGACTAAGAAAGTCCCTGAGTTCAATATGTTCTTCTGGAGTGATTGCCAGCGGCCAAGGGTGGAGTTGCTGTGAATCCACGCAGCTCTGTTCGCTTGCCCTATAGTTGTCTTGTAGTGGGAAGCGAAGGAGATCAGTATATGATTCATTCTGAGAGGCATTTTCATGAGGTACACCGAGATACATTCCAGGCGTCCGAGGGGAGGTCCGAGGCAGTAGAGAAGTCATACCCTTGGAGTCTCGATTCATAGAAAAAGGGGTATGCGGGAAATAATCTTGGGTGTATCTGGAGCCATTTGAGGATATCTTGGAGGGTTCTGCAGCAGAATGAGTTTTGTCCTTTCCTGTCATGGGCGTGGTACGGTTATTACTGGAAGATGGCGGTGTATCTTGGGGGTTCGCCGATTTTTGGCCAGAGGAATCGCAACTGCTCCGTAGTATCGATCGTGATTGATCAATACTTTGAAATACATTGCGGTTATCTATCTCTTGATTCTGAGGCCGCACAGTGGCAGCACTATTGTCGGAGTCGTAACATCTGTCACCCGGAAGCTTTCTGTACTTATCGATGATCGACGAGACAGACGAGGTAATATCGGAAGCAAATGAATGGCGGGCAGAAGTGGCTGCTATTGACAGTTGGTATGGCGTTACGACATCCAAATCAAGGCTTCGACGTTCTGGTTCTGGAGGTAGCAGTGATGAGTTATTTGCTGCCTCGGGAGGAAAACGTATATGAGGTGGCGGGTTTGAGTCAAACTGAGCAGCACTGTTAATGGGTCTGTAAGTAGTATCGCTACTACGAAGTAGAGGAGACGTCAAACTAGACTCGGGCTTCTCTACCTTTCCCACCTGTATTGGCGAATATGTCTCGGAATATCTCTCTGGCTTCGTGGCCGAGTTAGTCCTAGTCTCTTGTCGATGGTGACGTCGTGCCACGCAATATAAGCCAACAATGAGGCTAGATACCAAAACAATAGCGATCACAATAAGAACCACCAAAGCCACAGACGTCTTTTTGGACCCAGTAAGGTTTGGAAACGAGCGCTTCTGAGACCCACTCCTATGCGCTGAAGAGATGTAAGCTAGTTCAACCAAGGTTGGTGGAATGACGGCCATTGTAAAGGTAATTAAGGATATTGTGGCCTAGAACCAGGATATCGAGGATTGACAGAAAGTAGCTGGAGGCTAGAAGTTAACCGAGAGAAATTTTGAGAAGTCACTTAGAGCTGCAAGTGAATGTGTACCATATAGCGACCATGGTATTGTGTTGCATTCACAATTGCATGGGGCCTGCATGTTTTAACAAGAGTACAGTTGATTTGTTAGTTTTCTTTGATTCTTGTGACAAACTTGATAGGGTTATTCTTTCAACAAAATAAGTCCAGTGAGACGGCAAGCCCCCATTAATAGAAGCAGAGGGTGTACGTACATTAATGTTTAGCTATTTCACTGGCGGGTGGCGACATCCTAGTTGAGATCTAGCATCAATTTGGCTCAACGGAGCGAATACTGCGATAAAGTAGACTCTTGCACGTTCCGATACTGAAATTCAAGTTCAAACTCCAGTGTGGATGACAAAACATCAAAAAGCCATTCTGCTTCATCCTTGTCACCCATAAGTGGTGTATGTATGCCGACCCAACTTCAGCGATTAAGCAAAAACGAAGGGCTGAATGCTCCATGATCTCTGGTTTCTTCGGAGCATTCAGGCGGAACGTCGGTTAATCTGCAACAGGAATCTAACCTTCGGACAAGCTGCAGGAAAAAGCGCCATTCCTCATATGTATATTCCAAAGGGGGAGATCGGGCTATGTCTCCATGAACCTTCCGCATCTCACGGCATAGTAAGTATTGCCGGTGAGTACGGTTTTGAGGTGATCTGTCTTCGTCCTTCAGCTTGACAAATTCTTTTTCGTAGTAGTTTGCCGCCTCCTGATTTTTCTGAGTTTCATTTGGTGAAGGTTGGCTCAAAATATGGGAAAGGGGCTGTCGGAAGTTGCGCATCACGCTTCGACAAGATTGAAGAACTTGTTTCTTGATACCAATTTCCCCGGGTAGGATAGTAAGCTCGCCGATATAGATAGCAAGATCATGGAATGTTCGAGCAAGCGTGTCACCAAAAGCAGAAAAAAAGATCGTCGTTGTAGGAATAGCAAGTAAAGACCACAATACGAAAAAGGATTTTGACCACACGGCTCCAGGGGCAAAGTCGCCGTAACCGATAGTCAATAGAGAGGTATATGCAAAATATAGCGATTTATGTCCATTGGGCGTTTCTCTCGGCAAAAAAGAAAGCTAGGGCGCCAAAGAGCCATAGGCTCATCCAGACAAGGAGAGAAGTAACGAGTGAATACCATCGTAGATAGAGTGCTGCGGTCTGGTGTATTCTACGTATTAAGTAAAATTCTTGTTTTTTGCTCTCATGTTCAGGCTCTTTTTGAAACCCAGGCCTGTCAGGAAGCAGAGGCCATCGCCCTTTACTCCCCGATCTGAGCCTTCTAGAAACAGCGGAGCGCAACCTTTCAGTGGTTCGGGCCACGATTTTCTTTTTGCCTCTTTCGATCATAAAGGAGCAAATCGACCTTATTAGGAGCGCCAGGATAAGCATGCCACCGGCGGCATAGGGAAAAAGAAGGCCACGTCCGAGGTGGGTCCTTGGAGTGAGGTTGCCAATTCCATCTGTAAGAATAGTAAAATCTGCCCAGTAGACGGCGTCTAGGAAGTTCCAGCCTTCAATATGGGAGTACACGCGGGCGCCAAGAAGCAGATAGGCCATGTATAAAATGCTTTGAAGCATGAGGGAACGCTGACTGGTTGTCAGGTGAAACTCACGGCTATATTTATGGGCCCGGGCACCATAGACGGTTATCGACATGAGTGAAGAAATGAAAAAGTAAATTGCTGCAGCCATGATAGCATAATAATACGCTTGGGTTACCTGCCGATTTCGCATATCACTTCTACGAGGAAATATGGCTGTCAAGCACACCAATAAGATGGAAGCAATATACCAGTCACCAACAGTAACAGGCTGCGCAATAGGGAAAGGTAGTCGCTTTGCCATGTTTAGCAACAGCGAAAGGTTTGCCAGTAGAGCGAAAGCTAGGGAAACTGAGTTCAAGGCAATTGCCCTGTAGGCGAGCCCAACCGTTGTTAGAGAAAGGTTAGAGAAGTGGTGATTTGCCATGGGAGGAAAAATTAAAACATTAAGCATATACGGAGCAGGGAGCAGGGGTGCACAACCAGCCAGGGTCTTTGACAGTAACCAGATTGCCGTACGGAGTATACAGTCTCTGATCTCCAGTGTTGCGAAAGAGCGCAGATGCTAAAAGCATTGGCAACAGGACCAAACGTTCCCTGGGAAGAATCAGAAAAAGTTTCTCATTGGCTCCGTCCAGTGAAGTACGTACTGCGAGGAGTGGAAATGCTGTGCTTGCTAGCCACCATCTGGTTGGCAGCAAATAAGGGCGGGCCTTAGGGTCCAACCATTGACCTGGGCCCCAACCAAGAGGGGAGGGGCGGGATGCGCTGTCATAGCGTGTTTCTCTATCCATTATTATGGGTTTACGCCGCCGTCATCTAGTTATATGGGGGAGAGAGAAAAGTAAACTGAGATACAGAGTACAGAGCACTTTGACGGCGAAAAGGACGATCATGTGATTGGAGCAAAAATGCCAAGGAATTACTACCTCTTGCAACCCGTGACCTTGCCAAGCCTCCTAGCCTGCTAATAAGGTTCACCCACTCATACGGAGTAATGATGCTCGCTAGACCTTCTTCACTATGCCATTGATATGGGCCGCAGCAAAGAAACGGCTCCGGGACTGCAGAGTAGTCAACCCCGTATGCGGACCCCTCACACCGTCACTCTGAGCGCCGTTGCTCGGCCGTCTGCATTCTCTGCCGCTGAGAATGGAATTGTCGATATCGTGTGATCTAGCCAATTGGATCAGTCTTCCATGTTATCTTTCAAATCTACGACGTTAAGCCTGCTTCCAATATTCCTGTCATTGATACGGGCTTGTGCGGGGGTTTGTGGTCTTCACCCCTCCATCCCAAGGGATATAATTGATCACAATTTTCAGGGGATTGCTACCTCTTTGGGCGCTTGCAGACCCAGCCAGGGATTCGGCCGAAGACCGATGGACGGATTCATATTCTACAATGTGCTCCCTCCTTTCTCAAAGCATCACCGCTGGACTTCTATTGCGCACTTAAAAATCGAATCCAGACTGTTCGAGGATACCGCGGTGGGTGCTCGCGGACTTTCCCCCCTAACCCTCGATAATGTCCTCTAGCCGGCTCCTCGTGCCTTTTTCTCTTCACCATTTTCGGGAGCATTAATATTAACCTCAATACTCCGTACAACAAAAAAAACTATGGGTTTGGGGTTGGTTTGGCTTCATGGAGTCCAGATAGTTAGTTAACTAGAACTAGTTAACTAGTTAACTAACTAACTAGTTACTCCGCAAAAGTTCGTGCGAAATCTTAATTTTACGTGTCCCAACGACGATTTTCTACCAACTCAATATGAGTTCTCTCCATATCTACATTCACAAGTTGTAGAAATGCACCCTTCACAATATTCAAAATGCTAGTCTAAAGTTAGTCGTCCCACAACATACATCCTGGGAATCCTAGCTAATCAATGCTTCTATAGCCAGACAAGTCAAAACAACAAGAATGGACATCTATCATTATACTCCGTACAGCCATACGAAACGCTTCTATTCAAAGTCAATTGTTATACTCCTGCGTTTATGCCCTGAATCTCCAAAATGAGCGTCCCAGCGCTTTTTTCACAGTGGCAATGAAGTTGCCGTTTGCCCATCCCTGGCTGGCATCCCAGAGCATCACGCCGCCGAAACTCGAGAAGGTCTTTGAATACTGGATGACCGAGGCAAGTGTGGATGCCTCCACGTACCCGGAACCGGCAGCGCCCGTATTCGCCAGGGCGCCAACTAAGATTTTGACATTTTTGTTTTTCGACATGCTCTTTGCCCAGTTGTCCCATGCCTTGAGATTGAAGTTTTGTTGCTCGCCGCCCTGCTGAAATGAGTTTAGACCGCAGTAGTTGTTATAAAACTGGACGAAAACAGCATCGAATTCAACTTTCCCCTCAAGCATGCCCCTGTTGTTCAGATCTGGATACGGGCACTGGGGCGTCACTGTCAGGTAGAATGGTTTTGAGTTGTTGTAGGACATCAATTTGCGCAGTCGATTAGCGAAAAAATCCATGTTGGCGACGTTAGACTCAAAGTCAAGATCAAAGCCGTCCACAACCGCGTCTCCAAACGGTCGTCGCCTGGTGCTATCCATTTTCGGACCGAAGGTCTCCCAGATCATGTCTGCAGCAGCGACAGCCTCTGTCTCTGACCTGAACCCCCCCTCGCTATATGTTGCCCCACCGATTGAAAGTATAATTGTTTTTTGCTTGAATTGACACTTTTTTATATCTTCCCTATTTTGCAGAGTCAGTGTTGACCGCAATAATGCTGCTACCCATTGACCTTACCCAATTTGGGGGCAATTCAACAATCCTGTCCCGGGAAATTTCTCGCATATGTCCCCTTGGTTAGCAAAATTGACTTGGGGTTCACCGCCCGGCCCATTTATTGCTACCACAAACGCGATTTGAATCATCTGAGAAGGTATTTCGTAAGTTTTGAGAAATATATACACCCGTGCCGGCTGGTTCGATACATACATCTATGTTTGGATCTAACGAGACAATGGAAAACAGTTAACAGGTGATCAGGCAGACATTGAAGTTAACCTACCTTCGCAATAATATCCAAGTCGTTGCTGCGCAAGTTCCCCGGAGCCTCTCCCAAAGGAATTCTGACCTGTGATAGGAATTATTTAGACACTACTAAGACGATATCAAATCAGGACTTTATCTGCATACCCCAATACAGAGCAAGATTGCTTGAAGATCCACTATCAAACTTGGCATATGCTGAGCCCGCGAGGGCGGCTAAAGCAATTAAGCCCCTGAACGATGGCATCTTGGTGCTTTTTGTTGAATTTCACGTATATAAATGAAAGCGTCTAGGGCAGTCTATGATTACGCCGATAAAGGGTCGGGGGCTCCTTTTTATTGACTTAAAAGACCACTTAGGCATTTCCTCGCCCGATGCCGTTTTTTAATCCAAGCCTTAGTATGGCCATATGTATCAGAGGATATTCTGACCCGTGGCCCAAGCAACCATTGCAGCAGTGGTCATATTACATCCAAAAGGCCAATCAACCTTGGCCGGTACTTCCACGAAGGACCATAAAATCCGCCATTCGAGGCTCTCATGGCATCAAGGTAACGGCGGATGAGTGGAATGAACAAATGCAGATGTATACAAATATCAGTTGCCTAGCAGCGAGTTCTCATGACGCTATCATCCTGACGAAGTTTTATAGCGTGCGAATAATTAGGTGCAGGCGGTAGCTTGCCATGCCCGTTGATGTGGGGACAATGTAGACTGACGTAACCACTTGGCTATCGAGGAGGCAGCCCTTTTGAGGCATAGAGCGCGGTTGATGGATTCCCCTGAGACATGAAACTTCCACTGTGCCAGTTGGGCAAGCGGCTGAAGGAACTACTACATAGGGTCGACACCATCTATATTTCTGCTCGTTATATTCTGTCTGTACGGGGCCCAAGTGTATCGAGTATGTTTGGGAACGATTCGAATACGGCAAGTGTGGCGTAGTCTAGATCAAGGTACATCCGGGCGGATGGGGCCGTAGTTAGCTAACGAGTTAGGTGATCGGCAAGATTGCTAGGACGATTGCCGGAAAATGCTTCACCACCGGCAGAAAGACATGTCATCCGGCGAACGAATACGGTTGGGGACCCTGTCCTGCTGACCCATGGGCAAAGTAAGGTTGTTTCGCATGACTACGACATGGAGGTTTAAGCGAAATATGGATGGCCTATTTTGAATGGCCGAAACCACCATCAAACAAAACGTTTCAACAAGTATTTACATATGGCAGGAATGTATGCATTTATATGCAAGCAGCATCCATTAGCACACACCAGCCCGCCACCTTCTCCTTAGTGGAGCAAGTTCCAGCTGGCATCCACCAGGAACCTAGCGCCCTCGCCCTTAACAACCGACGTAGATCGCTGTGGAAAAGATTGGGTCTCAGCTATGAGTTGACAGGGATAGAGAAAGGTGTGGCTTACCGTTGGCAAAAAGAGCGTAACTATCAGCGTTGTTTAGTGCCTGCTGGGCAGAGAGGCGACGGCAGTTTTCATATCCGTAAGCATTGTCCTGGCAGAAGGGCTGGTAGACACCAGGATTGTGAGTGAACTCGTGGAGAGTGGTGGTAGCCTGATCTTGGGCGTGGCAACTCCGCGAGAGCGGTGGCAGGCGGTAATAGATAGGGCAGTTGACGACCAAGTTCTGAGATGGAAGAGTGTATGCGAGGACATTCTGCTGACAGCCGCCCATGCTATCCTTGCAGTAATATCTGGTAGAACCGCCAGTGGTCGAGCTAGATTCCCGCGCGACGGCTTGGAAGCGAGCGACAACGGCTTGTACGGTTCGGGAATCACTGTTGCGGAAATATTCAGCCAGCTTGGTAGGGTTGCTTTGGGCTGCCCGAGCTGCGGCCTGGGAGAGTGAAGCAGAACTCTTAAGGGCAGCCAAAAGGGAGTTTTTCTCTGCTCCAGAACAGCCGGAGTCAACCCGGGTTCTTGGGGAAAGGGCTGTAATGGCCTTAGCAACAGACGCGGCGAGGGTGCCGTCAATCTCAAGATCAAGTTGATTCGTCTTGAAAGCCATCGCACCGGCGAGAGTGGTTGCGTTAGCCTCGGCAAAAGGAATCAAGCCCTGAGATGAGATAGTAAACGTGCCACCAGCGGCCAAATCAGCAGTAGACGCGATGTCGAACTCTTTTTCAATGCTCTGCCCCGGGGTGAGTGGCACGAAGACACTCGGATGAAGATCGGTCATTTGAATGCGCCTGAGCATTCCATCAAACTGCACTGGTTGCCCTAGATTCAGTGTGGCATTAGAAATGCTCTGGCCAGATGAGGCAGCAAGCAACAGTACCATCTTTGAAGATCGAGACTTTTTGGATTGGGCCATCATCTAAAAAGTTGTTGTACTTGAGTAAATTGAGGGGGCGATTGGCAGTATTGGTGATGACAGCCTTGATGCGAGTATTGCTGATGGCAGTGAGCTTAATATCAAGATCTTGGGTAGCCTGGGGCAGGCGGGAGATGGCAAAGGAGAAGGCTGGCGTAGCCAAAGCCGCTAAAACCGTGACGACAGCAGGCAAAAACATGGCTTCTTGGGAACAGGCAGTTAGAGAACTAGTGAACAGCCGGGGTGGGTAGGGAGAGGAAGAGGCCGGAAAGACTCGGTGCAGCCAGAACGTGGGCCAAAAGAAAGCAGGAAGTGACGGCGAGAGGAAGGGCTATATAGCCTTCCCGGGAAATGCGAGGGGCCATGGGCAATTGCGCACGGCACCTGGTATCAAAGACACTCCATCGGGTGAAGAAGGTAAACTGGACACCCTGGATGATTTCGACCAATCCGTAGCCCGTAGTTAGTGTTACAGCAGGCGGGCAAGGGGCAACGGAACGACTCATTGTTGCTATAGGCATCCTGGGGAAGGGGAAAGATCAGCATAATGGCCTGAAGACAGGCATAGGTCGATGGATGTCTTGGATTCTGCACAAAGAGCAGAATTGGGCATGCTGGCAGCTGCCAGCCTGTAGTCATTATTTGTACGGCGGATTGAAGCAAAATGCTTGCAGGAGGCTGGCACCAAGGTGTGCCAGCAAACAGGATGGTGTTTTAGATGGCTACCAGAGAGGAACGAAATGAAGTGAAAATAAGCATTGTTTTGGCTTGGGAGATGACGGATACGCGGCAGGTAGTCGTCTGGGATGGGCGGTTTCGAAACAACCAGAAACCCTGGACCGAAATTGCTGCTTCAGAAGCCTGAGTGCGCACAGGTGGGCTGGAAGTCACAGCCGGCACGAGCGGGATCAACAAATGGAGAAGGGGAGGTTCTCTCCAGCTCCAGGTCTGTTGCATTGCAGAGCAGAGACTGGCCCAAGTGCAATAATGGCCATGGTTTGTTCCAGTGTCATCCCGGCGTGTGGCACTGAGTATAGACCGAGTGTGGTACTCGGCAAGGGTCAACTGGAGTTTCAGGTGACCTCCGTTCCAAAAGGCGTCGATGTCTGGATGGTGGCAACGTCATGATATACACGATGTATATGGCTTCAGACGTGGCCGGGTCAAGGGTGGCATGAGGCGAGTAAGGGCAACGCTGGCCGATCATACCATGCCCTCCTGATCGGCACGAGCCACACAGCCCAGGGTTTGTGGTCGGGAAGCCGGCCGGGCTGTTGGAGTTCTTCTCGCGTCGCATCTTGTAGTTATTTCCTGGCAGCTCGAGCGGCCGGGTCTGGCCGGGTATCAACGCGTTTTGGGTGTGTTTCTTGTTCCAGCGAGCGATGCGTTAGTTAACTAACTAATTAGTTAACTAATACGGAGGACAGAGGACAGAGTATTGCAATTTCTCGCGGATGGGACATCGGTGGCGGGGCATTTTGGCTAACACTGAGGCTGCGCATCGTCCGCAAATGCTTTTTTGACGGCGAAGGCAGCGGGCCAGGCGAGAGAGCGGGCACCAATGGGTGGTCTGTTTCAGGGCCGGGGCAGGCGGGTGAGTATATCGAGCTGCAATACCTGTTGACCAGCAATTAAGTTGCATAGCTATGTAGCTCTCAGGCTGCGTACGCAACACGGCTGGCGCGGGGGGCCACGCGGGGCCGCGGTGGCATGACGGCGGTGCGCGGCCGTGGGGGCATGGCGGGGCGGGCGAGGGGGGCAGCCTAGGCAGCAGCACATCGTCCATCTCGCTTGAAAGACGTCGACCGCTTTAATACTTTAACTACATAGCTACAGTCACCTCGCTCGCGACCTACATGCTCGCTCTGCGTCTGCTCGCCTGCTCTCTGCTCGCCCTGCTCCTCGCCATGGCCGCCACCGCCGCCGCCACGCCGCCCTTCCGCCTGCGCGTCGCCCTCGCCGCCCCGCGCCCGGCCATCCCCGCCGGCCAGTCGTGCGAGCTCGAGGCCACCGTCCACAACGACGACGACGCCGTGCTCACCGTGCTCGCCTGGAACAACCCGCTGGATCCGTCCGCCGGCTTGCTGGGCGTCTTCGAGGTGCGCGATCGCGACTCCGGCCAGGACATCCCCACTGCCATCATCCAGATGTCACGCATGCTGCCTCCATTGCCCGACCATCTGGTGGAAATCCGGCCCGGCGAGTCGACTGTCGCCCGCGTCGTGCTGGACGCCATCACCCTGCCGCCAAACCGCACATACTCCGTCGTCGCGAAGGGCCGGTGGCAGAGCGTCTGGCGGCTGCCCAAGGACGAGGTCGTCGCGAAGCATCTTAGCGACCAGGAGACCATCTTGGTCGGGGACTTCCTGTCCAACCCCATCGAAGTCTCGCAGGTGAGTCGCCCGCCCCAGCACCGCCCCGAGAGAGAGATTGTCTAACGCGTTGCAGGCCTGAGCACCGCGCTGTTTGCCACAAGGCTGCGAGCCCTGTTCTGCGGCTGGCACAGCTGTCCCAAACCCTGCAAACACTCCCTTCTTCTCTGCTATACTTTTTGTCATAAGCCTAGAGTTGCTGCTGTTGCAAATTCTCTCATGCTGCTTGCTCTATAACTAGGGCTCTATACACTCCAATTCTGTACATACTATTGCTCTGAAGTTCGAATCCACGCACGCACGCGAGCCAGGCCCCTTGATATCCAGCGGCGTGGGAGACTAAGCCACCCAAGATGTAAATAAAAACATACCCCTGTTTCCTGCTCTCTCTCCCCACAGATTCACTTCATGTAGATATAGAAATACACACAGGGCAGGGCCCTGGCAAGTGACACTGCTCCTTTCATAGCTTCTCAAAGGTCGGCGTCCGTTTCTCCATGCCAGACATCAGTGCTGCAGCCGGGTCGGCCGATTGAAGCGCCGCGCTGTTCCAGACGCCTGTATATCGAAGCCCTGGGTCGGCTGTTAGTTATGGCTAGATCTACATGTACAGGCGAGTAGAGCCTACCGTCTTGGATGCTGTGGTCTCGAGACCAGTTCAACAGCTCCTTCGTGCCCTGCACCGCGATTGGACTCTTGCTCGCAATCAATGCGCCCAGTTTTACCGCCGCGTCGACGGCATCGGCCTTGCTCTTGTGTGTCGAGCTCACGAATCCAACTCGCATCGCTTCGTCCGCACCGAAGACGCGCGCCGATAGACACACATCCTTGACCCAGCTGTAGTGCCCAACAACCTTGGGCAGGCGGGTTAGCGTCCCGATGTCCGCAGCAATGCCGATGTCCACTTCCTTGACGCAAAATTGGGTATCGTCCGAACAGATTCGCACGTCCGCGGTACAGGATATATCAATGGCCAGGCCATACGTGATTCCATGCATCACACAGATGACAGGCTTCTCGCATTTTTCTATTGCCGAGACACACTCCTGAAAATCGGCCACATTCCGGCGCAAATGAACAGCCACTCTACCGGAGTCCGACGTCTCGACGGCCCCATTGCCGCCGAGGACACCGCTGGCTGCCGCTTTCACGTCCAGCCCAGAGGTAAAAGCGCGTGTGCCGGCACCTGAAAGGACAATCGACCGGACATTGGGGTCTACAGAGAGCTGGTTGAAGACCTGCCGAAGCTCAACCCACATGCTATTGGGAGATTCGAATGTTAGCACTGGGCGGTAGGCGATGTGTTGGGGTACAGTATGGGATCCCTATCGACATACTCCTGGAAGAATGCATTCAGCTTGTCGGCTCGATTGATCTCTACATGGGCAACATATTCGCTTGGAAAGGTAACCCTGTAGTGCTTTGGGTTATATGAACCAGCCATCTCTCCTGTCGCCTGTAGATTTGTAGGGAGATCGAGCCGGAGTTAAGGGGTAATGGGAAGAAATATTTCGAGGTATGTCTTTAATCAGATCAGTTGCTTCTGATGTGAACCGCATTGCAGCGGCAGAGTGAAGCTGGATCTTTAATAATAATAATAATTGTCTTGCGGAGAGGTGGCGCATGCGAAGTCGCTGGACCTCGGCTCAACGTTCGGCCTGGCTGGTTGCCCACGACGAAAAAGTATCTACAGGGTGGATGTCTGCAAAAGGACAAGTTCAATAGAAAAATTCTAGAGATGATGCATTTACGAAATGCTATCCTATCATGCCAGTCTATATCGTAGAAGTGGCCTAACTGGGTAAAAAGATTTCCGGTTGCTGGGTGCTGGCCCTGATCGATTTTAACGTATGGCATAATACAGAACCCCCAAAGTTCTTAGGCCGATGACACTCGGATATATCAGAAATACTAACTAACCGGATCCGGGCGACATTAAGAAGCGCTCCGGCTTCCAACTATGAGGGACTATAGCAATTGGGTGGAATAGTTGGTAGGGAGATGTATCTTAGACAGCCACTTATGTCCCGTCATAGTGGCAGCAGCTTGGAGAAAGAATATTAGGTGTCGATTACCATATGATCAAATGATGATGAAATGCGAAGGCGGCATTTATACTAGCATCTCACTCTGATTCGGATTCTTCCGGCTGCATGACCTTTTCATCCAGCTCCTGTTGCAAGTATATATGTATCAGAACTTTATCCGTTGATCTGGCCAGTTTAACAGGCAGGCGAGGGATATATACCTGGCTCAGGCGGGCCTTAAGATTTTGCAGCTGGCTCTCTTTCACAACGAGATGTCGATCGTCGTCCAAGTCCTCGACTATGTAGTCATGCCGCTCCTCGTCGTACTTGAGGATGATAGCTTTGACTGACGGATCGCATTCGATCAAGACGCCTGCAGAACTCCGAGTGTTAGCTTCAAGTGAGAAATCTTAGGGGGAGAGAGCGAAATGTAGGACCTTTCACCGCACGAGGCATACTGATGTGGAGTGCTTGGATGTACTGGGCTTCCTGCCTCGCTTGCTCATGAGTCTTTTATTTTCTTGGCTCGTGTTCTCGTATTATGTAAGCGAGTTGGCTCCGCTTAGCTGATTGATCGCGTGAATGGACCAGGGCAGCAATTTCGCCAAGCCTAGCTTGAATGCCAAGGAAGGCTTGTCAATGCTTGGCGTTTAGTCTCCACCTTACTGCTTTGGAGGTAAGGATGTTGGCTCGCCTGCCCTAGGGGTCGCCTTATCTGTAAGATTGCGTATGGGGTCGCAGTCCCAACAGTATGTTCACCCTAATGCTCCCCGACCCTGAGTGCATTCGGATGAAAACTGGCGCAGCCATGTAGTGCGGCCTGGGCCTCTACGTCCCTGGAAAGGCAATACATGAAGACTCAAACGGCACTGCTTTTTCTTGTGTAGATAATTCCCAACTTGGTTAAGAGGAAGATCTGCGTTCACGGATGTGTGGTAAACAGTACAAAATAAGCTAGGTGAATACCAAGTTCTGCATATATACACGTAATTGTATGGAAGAAAGAGGAAATTCTACCGCATGAGAAAATAGTTTGACTTTTTAAAAGTTGTAAATTTTGCTAGCAGGGTGCTATAAGAATTGAGACGTGAAATTTTGGGATATATCCAAATGATCTGTAATAACCATCCTGAAAGACCATGCACCGCCAACCGAGGCTTAGAAGACATAACAAGCCATTAAAAATCAATAATACGGGTAGAATATAAACATGTTTAGAAGTGAGGAGTATTCAAAGCCATGAGCATCAATAAGCCGGAAACTAATCCGGCGGATGGGAGTGTTAACAGCCAGCCGCTGAAAATCCAGACAAGCTGGCGCCAGTTGACAGCTCCGAGGTCATAGTTCATGAGGGCAGTTCCGACAGTGGCACCGGTCAGACACTGGGTGGTACTGACGGGAAGGCCGAGACGAGAGGCCAAGAGGACAGTGACGGCGGCACCCAATTCCATGGAGAAACCGCGAGTGGGCGACATCTGAGTGATGCGGTTGCCGAGGGCACGGATGATATGAAAGCCGAAAAACCAGAAACCAGCGCCGAGAAGGAAACCGGCGATGATCAAGATCCAGATAGGAGTAGGGGTTTCGGTCTGCACAATACCGGCACGATAGGTCTCGTAAGCAGCGACCCAGGGGCCGACAGCGTTGGCGACATCATTGGAGCCGTGAGCGATGGACATGACCATGGCGCTGGCAACTTGGGCATATGTCCACAGATGTTCCACGCGGTTGTCGTAGCGGGCGGCACGTGCATGGGTGGCAGCTAGACGGTCTGATTCATGGCTGACGCAATCGCGGGTAACACCCTGAAGGAAGAACCATTTGACAAACGAGAAGAGGCGAAGAGGATGATAGATGGGGAGGTGTCGGTAGGGAGCCAAAAAGCGCTCATCTGGCTCGAGATGCTGCTTGCAGGCAAGGGCGCTTTCAGCAGGCGGCGCAGGCGTCGGGCCTTTCTCGATGGAGGCTGGATCGCCGCCGGAGCTGTTGTCCTTCTTTAGGTCTTCGGCGACGGCATTCTGGCCGGCGTGGGAGTTCTGATAGTAATCGATTACATATTCACCGTCAGCAGGGGCTGGCCAGTAGATCCAAGGATCCTCTTTCCAAAGCAAGGGGCCGAGGGGAATGTGGCGGGCACGGAGGCGGGCGTCCTGCTTGATCAAGCGGCGATGGAAGTACGGCAAGAAGAAGGTGTAGGCAATGGCCAGGCAGCCAAAGAACACGCCCAGGATGATGCCGCACATCTTGCCCACGCCGAATTCCTCGAGGGACTGGGTGCCGGGAATCTCGACGATGATGAAGAGGGCGAGAATGGCGGCGGTGAGAGCGAGGTAGAAGGGAATCATGCGGAGGGCCCATTTCATGGAGTCGGCGCGGTTGTGCACGGAGTACTTGACAGTAGCAAAGATGATGGCGGAGAAGACGGCGGAGATGGCGGGGGCAATGGCCCAGGAGGCGGCGACCTGGGAGACGGAGCCCTTGGTCCAGGCCCATTTGATGTTGGACTGGGCGGCGAAGCCGACGCCGATGAGAGCGCCGACGACGGTCTGGGTGGTGGAGACGGGGAAGCCTAGGGATGTCGCGAGGACGAGCCAGAAGGCGCTGCCGACCTCGGCGCAGCCCATGGCCAGGACGAGGGTGGCCGGGGTGGCGCGGAAGCGGTTGATGTCGATGATGCCGTTCTTGATGGTCTTGGTGACGCGCGAGCCGAGGGCGACGGCGCCGATGAACTCGGTGAACATGGACAGCACGCCGACCTGGGGCATGGTCAGGGTGCGGGCGGCGACGGAGGTGGCATAGGAGTTGGCGACATCGTTGGCGCCGTTGCCGAAGGACGAGGCGCAGAAGGCGATGGAGATGATGGCGATGATCCACGAGTACTTGTCGAGGACGGCCATGGTTGGGCCGGAGGTGAGGTGAGGGAGAGGCGTAGAGCCAGGAGGTGAGGGAGGAGGTGAGGGAGAGAGAGAGAGAGAGAGAGAGAGAGAGAGATGGCGGACGAGAGGGGGGCAGGCCGGGGCGGGC